CAGTGCCACACTCAGCTCCACGCAGTACACGTGTCATGCGCGCTTCACGCATATCACGCTGACGTACGATGACATAGTCGAGCAGGTGAGCGTGACCACTCCGTGGGTGCGTCCAAGTTGCTATATCACTCGCACTCAGTGCAAACCGAGTGTTCGTGATCGTCAGGCCGTGAGTGGCACACAGTGAGAGCAGCCTGTCACCGTTCGCATTCGCTGAACCAATGCCATGCGAACCGATAACATCTGTCCACGCTGATGCATCACGCCCAACGCGCGCGTTGAAATCACCCAGCAGAAATAGTCGGTCGCTCTTCGGCACAGACCGTATCACGGAGGATAGTTCAGTGTAGAACTGATCACGCGTGTCATCAGGATAACACATGGTCGGACCGTACGTGCTTATGAAAGTAGCAAACTTACCTCTTCCGAGTCGTAGGCGAACAGTCATCAGTCGCGCGCTGATGCCCGTTGGTTCACCCACCAGCTGGCCATTCAGGCGATCGGATATTGCAAATCCGACCCCATGTTCACGTGGTGCTGAGGCGGCGTTCCCCACCCAGTAGAATGTGTAGCCAGCACCTGCTTCATGTAACTTACCTTGCTCAGCGAGCCGAGTTTCACTGAGCGCCGCAATATCGATGTGGTAGCGCGCCAGCTCCATTGCGACCAGCGCAGTGCGTCGCTCCGGGCGCTCGCTCGAGTTCCGGTCCAGTAGTGTGCGCACGTTCCAGCACCCGATGCTGTGCTTTGCGCAGCTTGCTACCTTTGCCCTTGTACAGTGGTAGCACAAGGGCATCCTTCAGCTCAGCAGGCACCTCCTCCTCAATCCACACGCGTTGCACCAAGTGGTGCAGCGCAGTCAACAACGCGGGTCCACCGTGTTTCAATACTTCAGGTGGGATCCCGTCACCTCCGGCACATTTGCCGTTTCGCAGCTGAGCAAGTGCTCTCTGCGTCTCATCCAGTCTCGGCGTATCCGCCAGATCCGCCTTCACATCGTGCTGCTACAGGCCATTCAATGTAGGCCAGTCGATCTCTGAACGGTTGTTCAAGAGACAGTCAAAGTGTTTCCGCCAGACCTGCATTATGTCTGCAGTCTGGGTGCAGGTAGCGCCTGAACTACCATCGATCAGTGTCCTCAGCGGCTCCAATCTCGGTCCATACACCGCCTTCAAGGAGTCAAAGAATTCCTTGTGTTGACGGCGTTCGGCGTAGCATTCCATCTGCTTCGCCTTCTCCGTCCACCATGCATTTTTTATGCGACGGAGCTCTCGGGTCAGTCGCCGTCGAAGTTTGCGAAACTGACTACTCTTCCCCAAGTCACTGGGGTCTGCAACATGTGCAGCAAATGCTGCATTCTTCTCTGACACCAATGCCCCAATCTTCACATTGTTGTCATCAAACCAATCAGGCCGCTTACAGTTTGCGCGCCCGATGGTTTCCTCGGCAGCAGCTGTCACCTGGTCGCGAATGTGGTGCCACAGGTCGCCCACTGTGGCTATACAGTCCACATCACCACACAGGCGTGCAGCCATCGCCTTCTCCAGCTCAGTACGTTTCGCCACAGTACCGAGGGAGAGAATGTTAAATTTACGCCGATTCACGGCGGGAGTGCAATACATAGATTTACGAAAATATATGTACAGTTTGGTCCGAACCAACTTGTGATCAGTGCCACACTCAGCTCCACGCAGTACACGTGTCATGCGCGCTTCACGCATATCACGCTGACGTACGATGACATAGTCGAGCAGGTGAGCGTGACCACTCCGTGGGTGCGTCCAAGTTGCTATATCACTCGCACTCAGTGCAAACCGAGTGTTCGTGATCGTCAGGCCGTGAGTGGCACACAGTGAGAGCAGCCTGTCACCGTTCGCATTCGCTGAACCAATGCCATGCGAACCGATAACATCTGTCCACGCTGATGCATCACGCCCAACGCGCGCGTTGAAATCACCCAGCAGAAATAGTCGGTCGCTCTTCGGCACAGACCGTATCACGGAGGATAGTTCAGTGTAGAACTGATCACGCGTGTCATCAGGATAACACATGGTCGGACCGTACGTGCTTATGAAAGTAGCAAACTTACCTCTTCCGAGTCGTAGGCGAACAGTCATCAGTCGCGCGCTGATGCCCGTTGGTTCACCCACCAGCTGGCCATTCAGGCGATCGGATATTGCAAATCCGACCCCATGTTCACGTGGTGCTGAGGCGGCGATCCCCACCCAGTAGAATGTGTAGCCAGCACCTGCTTCATGTAACTTACCTTGCTCAGCGAGCCGAGTTTCACTGAGCGCCGCAATATCGATGTGGTAGCGCGCCAGCTCCATTGCGACCAGCGCAGTGCGTCGCTCCGGGCGCTCGCTCGAGTTCCGGTCCAGTAGTGTGCGCACGTTCCAGCACCCGATGCTGTGCTTTGCGCGCAGGCATACGATTGCATTGGTGGGCAATCGCACGCGAGGTGGTCGTTGTCCTTCGGAGGTTTGCTTGAGGGACTCCACCCGGAGTCTTTGGCTCAATAGCCTGACCCACAAGGCAGTGGGTGGTTTGGAGGTTTGCTTGGGGGACTCCACCCGGAGCCTTTGGCTCAATAGCCTGACCCACAAGGCAGTGGGTGGTTTGGAGGTTTGCTTGAGGGACTCCGCCCGGAGCCTTTGGCTCAATAGCCTGACCCACAAGGCAGTGGAGAGCAGATCCAGCTCGGGAATGTGATTGCAGAGACAGATGGGGATCTGCTTGACGGCCGTCACACGCAGCCTTGGAGGTTCTGGAACAGTTATCATATGTTTTGCGACCGTAATTGGATACGCACCTGCGACCACAGCCAGACGCAGGTGGGTTTTTGGCGGGTTTGCACCAATTTGACCAGGGGCTGCCTGGCTTGAAGCGGGCAGTAGCAAACCATTGAACACCCGGAGGTGTCCTCCCACCGTCAGAGACAATGCGTGGCACTCGTGCTCTACGCCAATCGAGCATTGAGAATATCACCCGTAACCTGTTGTCTCCCATGGCTAGGTTTTACGGGAAGTGGGCCATCGACCACTTCCTAACCTCCGGAGAGGATGGACTAGGATACTGCCAGGGCGCCCAATCCTGACAGGAGAACGACTCGGGTCCTCAGCCAAAGCCTTCGATTAAATGAACACCCGAAAGGCAGCGGGTCTAGCACATGGTCAGTTAGCTGACTCATGCGGATTGGTGTCCTGGATCTTAGCAGGGAGAAGGGCGAAACCTAACTCCCACCCAGCGGTTGCCACGTGGAGGCGCCCAGGACATGAGACTATGGCGCAACAGTAGCAGCAGTGGGTAGACCATCTGTCAGGATCTAGCCACCACCAGCCTCAGCGCACCATAGGCTCTCCCGCATACTGGACTTATATATATACATATATATATATATATATATATATATATATATATATATATATATATATGTTGCATTCGTTATGCTACTTCACCACAATTGGGTTAACCCAACTTACACTAAAACTAGGTCTTTTTAGGCCCGGATAAATTTCGTTCCACTTTATTTGCTTTGTTCTGCCTACCTGGATAATCCTCTATTAAGTTGCACACGTTGCTTACGCTAATTGTGGTTATCTTCGTTAAGTTGGTTGCGTTTGTGGGATTTTTGAATAACTTGTGGACATTTTGTACTTACCGCGGATTTGTTGTTAACCAAATTACTTCATATGCTAACTTAAGGAAGAGTTGCGTCGACATAGCCCTATGCGTTAACATGTATATTTTATTTGAAAACGTCATTTTAAGTATTGGGTGTTGCCCGCCTGAAACCACTGCACTTTCCAATCTGTCATTTTAAGTAATTCGCTGTTGTTTGACATCCCCGGTGTGGCTGCGCTTGATGTGCATGTTGACAGGGTGCCTACCTGTCTATTACGCACTACCTCCTCCATAATGGCTCTAGGAGATAGTTGGTTGTTGCTGGAGGGGACAGGGTGCACGGTCCTTGTGGCCACGTTGTTTTCGCTAATTGTGCTTACCTTCGATAACTGTTGGGTTTGTAACATTTTTAATTAACTTGTGGACGTTTCTTAGTTATTGTGGATTCGTTTCTAACCAACGTACTTCATACGGTAATTCAGGGGTGTTATTGCACCGTATCTGTATGCATTATTGGTTTTATTTTATTTCAGCTTGTCGTTTAAAGTGAATGGCTGTTGCTTGTTATCCCCATGTGTCCGCGCTTGATGTGCATGTTGACAAGGTGCCTATCTGTCTATTACCCACTACCTCGTCTAACTGGCTCTAGGAGACAGCTGGTCGTTGCTGGAAGGGATGGGGTGCACGGTCCTTGTGGCCATGCTAGGCTCGAAGAGTGGTTCCATGCACTCAGTGCGGAGCGGACTACGGTCCAGCCACCGCCTTGTGTACGTTTGATTCCCCAAATACAGCGTGTTTGTGTTTGCCTGTGAAGGAGTGTGGGCCGGCTCCGTTGATGAAACGTGGCTGCGATCCACTTGTCTCCCGGTCTTATTCCTTCGGGTTTACACTGGATATGGGTTGGGTGGGTGGCGAAGCGTAAGCCATCCACGGTCTCTGTAGGCGCACGCATCCTGTGGCTGTCCCTGTGGAGGCCGCAGCGACAGGTAAATCCGGGATCGGATGCCGCCAACTATCCATGTAGTAAGCCACCGCATTTTTTGCTTATTTTCCGGGGGATAGTGTGATGGTGGCTGAAAACTGGGGCGAAGGGAAACTCCTGCCTCAATTTGGTCAATCAGGCAATCGATCGAGTGGGCGCGTGAGTTTTTATTATCACCGCTAGTTGTCATTACCCCAGACTTGTGAATAGCACGCTTGCGTGCGGAGCCCGTGTGAGTTCTTTCTCTTGATGCCGCCGAGAGAACCATGCACACAACAGATACGTTGCGCCATATTACACTTCTACTACTGCTGTTACTACTGCTAAAACTAATCATTTATCCAACCATCCGTTTCTTAGCTTCAATACAATTCTTTTTTCCTCCTTCATCTAGCGGAATTGTCGTCCGGCATGCTGATTTGTACTACCCTGTGCGATATCAGCTGCTACCTCACATACTGGTGATCATTTCGCGCTTGTCAACCCAACAGGTAAATCCAAATAAATGTCGCCATTGAAGTGAGATTTGATAATCAATACTCTAGGATAGAACTATTAGTTACTGCATCCATCCAATCCGCGTTGCCCATGCCCAACTCATGCCGCGCAGTGTGAATGGTGTGTGCTCCACCACTACTGTTTCTGCACACCAGTAAGCTGGTAAGAAATTGTGTTTTAATCACAGCACCCTACAATTTTACCGTACACATAGGCTTCATCGCTGTTCGGTCCAACTCTATCTACCATCTTTGTCCATCTAACTTTTCTGGAGCAGTTGTCCTTGTGGCCCAAACTGTTTCTCAGTGCTCTTCTAGATTTAGGTTTTCGGCATCATCTGTTTGAGATATTGCATTGGACGGCAGTCCCGAGGGGTTTGGCGATGCAGTTTGCACCATCTGCGCTGCCACCACGCTTCTGTGGGCAACACACGCATTTTGGCCATAATTTTCCGTTATCTTCGATTCACCGTTGTCGTTTTATTCATGTAGCTCCCAGTCGAGCAGCGGCGCCTTGCTTTGGATATGATTGATGCAGCCGCACGATGGGATCATCGTTGTCGCCAGCACTCCGTCGAGCTCGATGGTGCCCAGAAGTGCGAGCCCGAATCCGTAATGAGCTTCAAGGATGAAGTGTCCTCCTCGACCTCTTCGGTACCTACTGTAAGTTACTTCCTACGTGTATGCATCTATGGATTACCTGGCCTCGGATGTCGTTGCTACCACTAGATGCCTGACATCCGATCCATTCATATGCGTTCTGCGCATTATGACTTGGATTTTTGACATCTTAGAACCTCTGATTTCTGGTCATCTACTACCTCTCGTGTGCCGCTTTATGCTACATTAATGTGAAAAGTTCATCTCTGGTTCATCGAGTATTTGTGTGCAAGTCGATGCTTGCGAAGTTGTTTCAATCCATCTGACACCTTTCCACATATAGCCTAATGGCATCGTTTTGACTTCAGACACTCTCACCGAGGCTTCTCTACGCTATTCTACGCTACTGCACGCCACTCAGCTACGCACTGCTGATGTCACCTCGATTGGTGACGAAACTTTTGCAACGGAATTGCCAAGCTCAGCGAACAGTTCAACTGCCATCAAGCTGTCTTTTTCTACCTTAGGGATTAGGCTCTTGTACGTCTTATGCGTTGGCGTTCATTCCATGAGCTCAACTTCTCATCCTTGACCATTGCTGGTTGCCCCACCAGTTTAGCGAAATGGCGCTTAACGGTTAATATCTGACGCAACACACGTGGCTTGCGGTTTCATCCGCCCCCAGTACATATCATTCTGTCATCTTTCTAACTGGTTTCGGTTACACAACAACATGCTCATTGGATGATTGTCAAATATGTCGTCCGGTGGCCGAGAGGATTATGCACCTACCTTATCATTCTGTAGTCGCCGGTTCGAATCCGCATAAGTTCACACTCACGCAAATGATAGTGGTCGTGTGGCAGCGAAATAACGGTGCTGTGTGCCGGCGTACTGAGCATGCCTTTTTCACTGAGACGGTACTCTAAGTCTGAGCACAATATATGTTTGCGGAAGCCTCGCCATAACGCATGACAACGGCATCTATAGTCGCAGATGCGAGAATTCGACTCATGCTCACATTTGAAAATCTAAAACGTACTGCCGTAGTGTTGATCCGAAACAAAATGCCTGTGTCGATACGGCATCCATCTATTACTGTCCGAAGCGGTAGTGGCTAAATGATATCAGCTTACCAGTTACATCGTATACCATACCCCTAATCCAGCGGCTGTCGTTCGTCATCTTCACGAGGTAGAGATGTCATTGAATGTTGTATGCGTACGATCATGGCATCCACCCTTTCGCAGTTGTCCACAAATATCTCCCACACTTCTACACACTGCAGTTTAATGATCCACAGGTCGCATTCGACAGATGTTTGCTTTTCGTCATACGCTTGATCAGCAACGTATCATTGCCCTCTTCTTTGACCTGAGGGCCACTTTCGATTTGCTTGAACACATCTTTCTGTGTTCTTGTTAACCAGTGGAAGACGTGCCTAAAGACGTGCCTAAGACGTGCCTAAACAGAGAACATAGAGAACCGAATATTTCAAGAGATCGAATGCTCATACGGCTTGTTTCACTCGAATAGCCAGCGATGTCGTCCTGAATCTCTTGCTGTTGATTGTTCCATCTCTTCGGATCTCGCAGTGGAACTTTTGCATATCCAGGGACCTCATTAAATCGCTTTCCTTTTGAGAATGTCACTTTTTCAAACCATAGTGCTTTTTTATCTGTGCTTCCGCACTTAGTCTCCAACTACTTCGGGTAGTATCTTTCATCTGGATCATTTAGCTAGTCCTCCCATTTCTGACATTGTATTGCTGTTCGTATTCCCTTTTATTTCTTCACGCTTTTCCAGTGTTTGTTGTTGATCCAGATTGTTCACCCATGCGAGCTTTTTCCTGTTTTGGGGTCTCCTTTCCACCCGTCGCACAACACCAAATAGCCACCACATAAATATTGTTTTTTCTGGGGATCCCCTCTTCCACTTGACAACAGGACTCGTTAAAAACATACGTTACTTGGTTTGTTTTATCCCGTCTTCTCCCTTGTCCTTTCAGCCAGAAGATGTTCCTATGCAAAAGACCCTACGGGATCAGTTGCTCACCTTCATGATCCGTTTTGCATGTCAGGTAAATCCCTGGCTACCTCATCTCGTCAAATTTGCCCCACTTTCTTTTTTTCGATGGCGGCTGTTTGAAAATATTTCCCGCTTAGATCCCATTTCCCAATCCTCCGAATTCTTAGCCCCTTCATGCCGATGTGTCTCCTTACTTTTCGTTCGAAAACGCCTCACTTACGCCCCATCTGGTTCCAGGTACCTAGAGTATTAGTTATATCTCAAGCGTTCGGCCGATTAGTCATAGGACGTACTGACGCCTCATCGTTTTGTCACTTATTACTTATTGTGCGTACAAGGCGAGTACAAATTCATCCGGGGCTGACAACACTCATGAATCGCGACGTGTCGTGTTTGTGCAGCCAACCACCTGGGTATCTCCAACCCCTGAATATGTGTTACCATCGATACTTAGTAATCCGATTTACTTCGAATCGCATGATGTCTCATCATCCAAGTTCTCCACAGTGTGGGTCTGTCTGCTTCACTCTGCTGCCACGTTCCTCACCATTTTGAGTAACTACTGGCTCAGATCACGATAAGTCAGGCTCGTCAAACGTACGGACCTTTCTTTGCAAACACGTCTGCTGTCCACACAAAGCATGATGTAAGGAATATATTTACTCTTGCTCTATGTCTTTAAATGCTGCCAATGAAAGGCCTCAAACGGATGCCAGTGAATCTCTGCAGTCAAAATCCCTAGCTGAACTTACTTCACACTGCTTTGTGGGTCGAGCAAAGGCTATCAGAAAAGCACTCAGAAAAAATCCTCTCTCCAAATTGGCCATCAGAGAGTATTATCTGCAGTCTTGATGCCGTCGACAATACTCTTCTTTCTGTTTCCCCCCTCTAATCTCCCTTCCTTCCTGTCCATTGAGCAAAAGACTGCCGCTGACCTCGCTGTTGCTGCCATCGATACATTGGTACATCAAACCAAGATTCTCATTTCACATTAATTTTTGTAACGCCCGCACTCTAGGTCAGATCGACAAACAAGCAGCACTGACTCTCACCTTTCCCTCTCTTGATATGGATGTGTTCCGTCTCCGAAACACAAATCTCCCACTCCCCCAGCAAACTTGCTTAAGGCAGTCTACTTGATTGGATATCATTGAGCAGCCTCATGTTTGCGGTTCGACTGTAAACGTCTATTCAGGTTAATAAGCACTGTTTGGGATTACGGAGTCTTTTCAGCGTCTCCGTTCGGAAGGCGTTAACAATGATTTCTATCCTGAACTCGTTTCCTCACATAGGGGAGAATACTGATGTCGTGATTGTTGCTGCTGACATAATTGGCATAAATGGTGGTTTTGCTTGACTGTAAAGCTACCTTCGATTCTGTTGGTCGGGTCGACTTGTGACACTGCCTATTTAAGAAGGGCGTAACAGTTAAACTCCTTCCCATTTTGAATTTTCCCTACCGCGACTCCCGAAGTCTTGTAAGGGTCTACGGTAACTGTCTCCTGAGTTTTCCTCGACAAGTGGGGTTCGCTAAGGTTTTCTTATAACTTTGTCATCGGAATGATCGTGAATGACTCTGTTCTTTCAGGTATGCTGACGACGTAGCTCTCCTTGGACAAGACACTGTGGCTATTCAAATCAGCCGATGGCCGAAAAGATTCCACGCTTGCCATGGAATCCGTAGGTCGCCGGTTCAAATTCACGTAGGTACAGGCGACCTCTCTGTATTCCTGACCATCGCGCGATTTTTGCTAGTCATGTGGTAGCAATGCTTGGGTGCAGTGTGCCGGCGTACTGCTGATGCCTTTTGGCTACGCAAACATCAGTGCCTAGACTGACGCATAACCCTGCAACTTCCGATATGTGATTTACACCTTCAAACTGCAAAGTACGGTTACAGGACTGGACCGATGGGCCACTAGTTTAGGTATCGGCAAATAACCGTTGGAAGTGGTTAACCTGTTCACTTATCCTGGTAGTTGTGTCGCCTCTGGTGGACACATTTCTGAGGGAATCCTTTCGCTTATCCGCAAAGCTCTTGAGACTTTTCAGAGGCCTAACCATCTATGGAGACGGCGGGATATCAACTTGTCTGTGAAAGGTAGGATGTGTAACGTTGCGATAAAGCCCGTGTTACTGTATGGATAAAACGTTTGGCCAGCTCGCGGTGAAGACATTAGACACTTGACCGTATTTACCACTGATGCTTGTGTAGTCTTGCTCACGTTTGATGGGAACATTGGGTGAGCATTGCTGTGGAAGCCATCTATAGTTCATAAATTATTCCTCCGGAGTCAGCTAATAACAATCGCGCGAAAAATGGTCTTCGACAAATCACTTCAGGCAACCACAATCACAAAGCAAAATTAGGACGTTAATAAGCTCGGGAAAGCATTGTCGCAGTTGCATAAATGAACATAGCGAAATAACACTTGTGTGCAATTAGTTAGCTAAGCGGTGTGAAATATCAATCAATGGCTTGTCCAACCTCACCAGACAACGTTTGCAAACACACGTGATCCACGCCAGTATTAATGTTGGGGCGAGTTCATGGCCTAGGCAAAATCAAAGCTTGTAACAGAGTGCGCTGTTTGCACAGCTCTGGTTTCAACACCGTGATTGCCATGGCTTCTGTGATGACCAATAGAGGCTTCTTAAGCTTTTTCGGGTAGCATCTAAAGATGGTATGGGCGACTTTAAGGGACTCACTCATCCGAACTTGATGGCCACTTTCAACCAATTGTTGCAGAATTGAACTGTTGATGTTCTTCACCGTGCCTTTCCACTGTGATGCAGGACATTGTTCAGCGATTCGTTTGAACAAGCACCTGATCGTGTGTCCAATATAACTTGCACCACCTCTGCAATTGAATTGGCATAGGTTGAAGGATTCGGACCGGAACGGATCGTTTGTCCTTTAAGGGCTGAGGGCTCAAAGGTGCCGTTTAGGCAACTGCCAACAACTGAGAAAGAGTGCTCGCAGACGAATCGAAAGGCAAAGTTCGAAAGAAGACTCGCCCCGAATACAGCGGACGATCACTTCAGCTGCCAGGGGACATGACCAAAGATCACGGGCGCGAATGAAATGTGTTACTCTCTAAAAACCTCCTACCTTTCGACCACGGAAGAACATTTTGATAGACAAGATTGTCCAACGCGCATAATTACACTGATAGTGCCATTCCGTGTGGTGATGAAACGTATGCAACCATTTACTCAAGCTCAGCGAACCAGTCAACAGATGGACATCGTTTTATCTCACTTAAGCAAAACTCTGACCGATTTTTCTACTTCATAACTCAGTGTTTTCTCCAGTTACTTCAGCACTTTCTCGCAACTGTCTGCACTATTGCGTTCATTATCCATATTAATGCTAACTTAGCCAGCACCAACGTGTCGAGTTTGTTTCTTTTACATGTGCTTCTCTTTTTTTAAGCACATCTCGCCGTCGATTTTCGCGTGATTCATTTCGATTCTTTGATCACGTGATACTGCTTGGTGTTGAAGCCTAGTTTGCAACTGCTAACTGATGGTTCATTACTTTATAGGCTGTAGACACAAGTCAAAATGGTAACCTCTCCGAACTTTCTGTTGCACGAGCTCTAGCTCAGCTGGAGTTTGCTCTGCGTCCAGACGTGTGGGGCACCGAGACTTGCGACCTTCGGTTGGTATTCATCGAACGCTGTTTCGCCTCCGATGACGCTTCTTCTGTCTCTGGTGGTGGTCCATCGGCCTCGGGTGCGGTCGCGGGAGTCAGCAGTAGCGGTAGTAACCAAGCACCAATTCCCGGTGGTCTTTCGTCTCCTGCTGCTGGCCCTGGCAATCCCAACTCCGGTTCACATCCTGGCGCGCCCGGCAACCTTGGTGCCACGCAAACTACGAATTTTCTGATGATTTTGGAAGTATTGCGCGTATTGTTCACTTCTCTTGTAAGTGCTTCAAACCACGCACACCTATAAACCTCTGTGCAGATGAATCGTAACTGTCCGTTTTTCATCTTATCTATATTGCCTACTAGGAGGGACCAACGCTTTTGTCCAACGTGAAGTACTTCTGCTCTGGACTGTACTCTTTGCTTACGCGTCAATTGACCAATGTCAGGCTGATGCGTTCATGCTCCAATCTTCTCCGGGCGATTCTAACACGGTTCCCAGCGGATGCGTCACATCGGCAGAAAATTACCACTCACGTCGAGCTGTTCGATATCTACTCCGCCACCCTGAAGACCATTCAAGAATCGTTCACACTTTATAGTGAAAAGTGAGCGGGTTATGTTAACATTACCCCAGCAGGTGCTCTGATTTTTTTTCTGTTTTCAGATGCTTCGGCTTTTGTCTTGGCTGCCACTTTGCCCTTGTCATTCCTGTCGTTTTCACATCTGGTTTAATCGGTCTCTGTATAAGTCCGTTTGCACTAGTGTCCGCCATCATCTCTGGTGGAAAACAATTTATACTGGAGTGCTACAACAGTCGGTTGGCACACGCGTCATCAACGACTTGGGAAGCGGGTTAGTGCTTGTCAGTGATGGTCAGGTTACTGTGTTAACCCAACAAATTAGACTGAATAAGTTGCGTTGGTTTGGGCACGTGCTGCGTACGTCCGCTTCTCGGTGCTTGCCATTCTCTAATAACAAGTGATTTGACTAGGACTATAGTGGACTTGGCGGATGATTAAACTGGCTTTCCTGACTGGAGTCTGCCTAAATCGCCTTATGCTTGGATCCAGACCTTGCAGGACATGGCTCGCAATGACCATCTTTGACGAGTTTGCGTTAGCCTTCACGTCTGATTGCTTGTCTAAGGTGTACGCGATGTTGAGTTGTACTTGGGATACGGTTGCTTGTGACGTGTAACAGTGAAAGCTGCATGGCTGCAGTTTTTTCAATGCCGCCATAACTTCGCACAATTGCCAGTTGTGCTTCCCGTCCCGTGCATTATTGCCGCTGTGTAGGGGCATTTAGTTTTCTCCAAGGGAATTTAAGAATTAAGCTAGATTCCCTCTTTCACCCGGTTATTACCATTGTCCTTCCTTAGGGTGTTCTTTATGGCTGTGTGATATCAAAGACGACATAAAAATATACTTGGGTATTGCTACTGTTCTTAGTATCCGATGGTATTCTCACCCATTTTGGCATACTCGTGGGGGTCTTCGTTAACATGCCTATGACCTTCCGTCTCTGATCCGCACACACGCACGTTACTTGTCTCGATATCTCTTTGTTGGTTGAACGAAACTACCTACGATGCGATCCTATCACTTTTTCCACCCAGTGCCCTTTTTCTGTTGATCTTGCATATATGTAAGCAGTTTTAGAGGTTACCACTGTTCCATTGTGTCAGAAGACTCTCATGCGAATTGCTCATTCCCTAGAATTTAATTGAGCACTCTTGTGAACTAACTCACTAACCTTGTTACGTCGTAGCTGAAGAGAATCAAAACTATCAAACGGTTTTCAGCCCCGATTCTTCGGTATATGAGGTCAATGTTTATGGGCCTGCACGTTGAAACATTGAATGGATCATGTAGCTTGGATGTGGGCGGTCATTCTCTCATGCGTTTTGTAGATTTTCGAACTTTTGTCATCATAAGGAACAACTTAGATGGACGATGGAGTAACACTGTTCCCAACTGCTATAGCCGGAGCACACACCATTTTTGTATTCTCTTGGTTTACATCTTCTTGGGCTAGTTAAACCTTGTCCCTTCATCGTGTTGGTATCAGGTTCATTACGTCCAAACTTCCTTGTGCACACTCCTGCCTACTTGATAACGGTACTGGTTATCTACAGGCCACTGCTCACTTTTATCCTCACTGTCTATGTCATTTTTAATCACATAAACTGTTAAACCCGTCGTTTTTTAATTCCATCGCTTACGCCTTGCAAGAACACTTACCCAACCTCAGTACGGGTAGAGATCCACTTTCGGCCTAGTTTTGCTCGTTGTGCGCATTGGGATCATATCGGGAATAAACTTACTTCTACTTACTCATGTGTAGGTGATTTTTAATGTTATTTGTAGGTTTTTCGTCGCAGTTGTCTCTAAGCGGAACATCTCCCACACATTCAACAAAGCAGCGGACTACCGGGGAATACTGATTAATTCCATTAGGATGAAACGGCCGTCTATAGCTTTCTCGCATTCGTGTGGGTCTCTGGTTGGGTGCTGATTGCAAGGAACCATCTATAAAGATGATTTCCTTTGTGGCTCTCAAAACCGCAGTTTGCGGAAGTAGCTGAATCCACACACCCTCCAGTGATTTAATCGATGTGTTGCTATAAGACTGGCATATCGCCGTCACCACTCGTAGAGCTGTTGTGTTCGTTGCAGCATTGCTTTCTGATTTTGTGTCTCATGCTTCTGCTTTTCCTTTATGCACAATCCTCTTCCGACTGGCAATGTGTTTCTTGTTACTACGACGACGCCAGACACACCAACGATGTCTAACATGTTTCAAGTTCGTAACTGACCATGGCGTTTTCATCCGTTGTCGTTCATCTTTTATGATGCTAATCTTCGGGTATTCGCCCATTGTAATGCAGCTGTTGTCACTACTACGCGTTTTCGAATCTAGTAGAACTCAACGATTGCGGTATACTGGTTCGCTTAAGACGTAAATGGATCCCGCATATCGAGGCACCCGTGAACCTAGCACTTAACTATTGGTCTCCATTACTTTGTGTATTCGACTGTGTCCCTGCGGACTGTTTACTCAGACTACAACGCGTACCACCCACGAATACAAGTTGGCAGCTGCGACCTCGTCACGCTACCCGACATTCGACCTTATGCTCGGATAGGGGCAACATGTAAGCCCCTCGGAAACTCCTTACCATCCATCACTAGAGTTGGCCCCCGATATTCTTTCTATGAATTTCATCTCCCTATCCGATGCACCTTTTCTCTCAGTGGACCCAAATCCACCTTGCTCGCCCGACTGCAATCCGCCTTCCTTCTGTTCACTGCCACGCAAGTACAGACCAATCCACATGCGTTTGTCGATCGATGTATCGTTCAGTTGGTCAAACTAACCCATCGGCTTATTCAAGACGTGGTTACTCCCGGGACCTATTTATCCGGCTCCCTCGATTCCGGAGCCAGTTCACGTAAGTTTTGATTCGTACCGAAACGTCCTTTGTTGGCGATCAACCGCGTCTTGCCAATGCAATATGCCCTGAAATCGGAAGAATGATTTCATTCTACTTTCTACCTTTCTACGGTGGCACTTGCCTCTGCGATAGACGACTTACATAGTTTTCATGTGAGTTCATGCAACTTCTCTATGCCTCTTCTACTTTTAGAGCTGACGGATTTGTTAATCAGCAGTCTGGAAGTGATCAAATCACGCTTGAATGTGGTCAGTCATGAGATGCGAAAGAACTCATTCGGTCCGGACCTGTGTCTCATCATGGAACGCGCTCGCGACGCTCGCCTATTTCGTGCAGTGATCAAAATCTTGCGCGATTGGATCAATGTTCCGAAGTCAGAAGAGCACTTTGCTCCTACTCCCCGGGAGAAGGTGAATTTCTTTCACAAACTGTGGCTTGCTCATCCACGATGGTTGGATTTGGCGCCGGATGTGGCTCGAGAGATATTAGAGTGTATATACGAGGTTAGTAGATGCTTCTTTCCTATTAAGCATCCACCTATTCGTCTTTTCTCTCCGCTTCCTTTATCTTCTTACTCTTATTTCTCGTTGTGTTACACGTTCCTTGCCTGTTTATTTTCTTGTTGCCTTGCGATACACACCACTTTATCCGCTGTTTGTGCTCATGATGCGGAACTGGTCGGTGAGTCATGGCAATTTTATTAGCAGGAATCGTCGCTAACTGTTCTGTTCACTCATATTTGGTCCCGTTTGTATGCTTCATTGCTACTTTGAGCACCTGTCCAACTCACAGTATTCTTTGAATAAGCCAATTGTTAGCATTACTTGGGCATTCACTGGCTACGGTCACACCGACTAATTGCGTCGACTCTGCGTTTGCTGAAACAATTTTGTCGAATAGATCATTTTCTCTTATCTAGTTTATGGGTCAGCATTCCTTCTAAAGCTCACAGAAAGTTGTCACGTCCATCCGGGCGAATATAACTTGGCTGTATGATTACCTAATACTTACTACTGTCAGTAACTGACCTTATTTTTGCTAGCCTCTGTCTTCTTGGTTCAACGTGTGACTGCTACCTGGATTCCTTCCTTGAATCACGGCACGCACTGAACTGACTCAGTTCTCTGGTCATTTCTTTCATACTTCTCCGCCAGCTCATCAGTTGACCCCAAGCTTTCATTCAACTAGGCAAGCCAACTGGAAACTGTCCATCCTGAGGTCTCTCTTAGACAGGAATGCAAAGAAGATGATCCAACCACCGCAGATAGTTCAGTATCAGTCAGTTACTTATTGCTTCGTCAGCAGACCTATTTGTCATTCTGTGACCGGCAGACCACTGATTTACTTATTCCGTGTCCCATCCAGATAGGGACGGTACTTCGGAGCAACCGGTTATTTCTTAATATCTTCATGCAACAGCAATATCCCGCCCCTGTAGAGTGGGACTGTGCATCACGCGGTAGATGTACATGTTTAGGCACATATTCTTTGCTTGTTTGGCAGCTGGAGTCTTCCTAATTCTGTTGTTGATGATAACTATTTTTTACTTTATAGCATACCTCAATGGATTGAACGTTAAGAGAGAGTATGGTACAGCCGTCATGGTAAAGCGAGTTCACGTTTTGTTACCAACAACTGCTGATAAACTTTCAGTCGGGTCAGAGAGTAATGTGCGCCTCGTTACGAGATTTATATCGGCTAACTTCATTAGTGTCGTCAAACCACGAAGCATCTTTGTTCGATGATGTCACCTGTCAGTGTGTTCACGAAGCCAGGAAGGAGCATTCCAACACATGCGCATATAGACCCTGTCGCATGAATTAGAGAAAGATGGAGCTTACGAGTCGAATCGAACCTAAGCACACTGTACGGTTTGTGAACTGTGGATCAAAATATCTTGACCGAAGTTTATATATATATATATATATATATATATATATATGTATACATATATATATATAAACATTATACGAATAGACAGTCATCAAAATCCATAGAAATCATACCAAGGTATAATTATCTTACAAAAACTGGACGCAACGCGGAGATACACGATACTACCCGGCTGCTCAACCCGAGGTAGGGTGTTGACTTAGGGGACACGACCCCGAGTCTTTCGCTGAATACCCAACCCACAAGGCAGCGGAAAGAATCCAGGGAATCGTACCCACCACCACCACGTCCTGGAACACTGCTAGGCCGACGAATTAAAAAGCTTATTCATGTAGCATTGGTTCTGTACTCTAAATTTCAGGCAACATAAGCAGGCGACTAGGTTTACAATCGTCATATCGCATAGTGGACGCAGTAAGGCATGTGAAGCAGCTTGCAGAATCGGTATATCGTAACAGTTCATTTTTCAGCATTCTGTGTGGCTTGAAATACATCGATCTTGAAGTGTCAGGGATGTATTCATGCTTAAATGTAACCATATCAGACGTCTAAAAATGCAAACATTTGATGTGCAGCATTGTAAAATTATATTGGGCATTGACGGGATTGTTTGGAATTAAGCAAACCAAATAGACAATGCGACTTGAGGAAGAAATCCAACTTCCATTTAAACATGGCACCAAATATCATCCTACCTTGTATCCTTCTTCCCTTTGTATTTCTTGCCGAGTTTTTCAACACGAAATCACTGCATCGCTGAAAACCATTGGATTTCTTTGAACTGTGTTTGTGTTTCTAACTTTGATGGGAATCGCTACACCTCCCGAATTGTTAAGTTTTCACTAATTTATTTCATTTCACATTCAATCTTCTTCCTCCATCCCGCATCCATTCCATTTCACGCAGGTGTACATTAGTGGCAGTCTTTTCAAAACGCAAGATTTGTACCTGAAGCTCGAACAGGCGTTCTGTTGCAGTCTTTTGTCCACATTCCCCGACATTCGAGAACGTTTTGTGAGTTTGTATTTGGAGGCTTCGCAACTCCGTTTCCCGATACGGCACTCGCAGCCTGAGTCCGGTCAGGCGACTCATTCCGACTGCGGACTGACAATGATGACTGGGGAGTTAGAATCGGATTCGCTCACGTCCTCACCACATCACACCCAGGACGGTGTTACCGATGGGTCTGACATACTTGCTCCATCCGGTTTCCAGTCAGCATCTCTGTTGGTCCGACTGCTGTTCCTCTTTGTCTCAGTCAACTGGGATGAGGCGCACTTCCGGAACTCATTTTGGTTACCGTTATTTTTTGACGTGAGTCTTCTCTCACCCAATTTGCGCGTTTTCCCTACTTTTTTGAATGTTATTGTCGAACTGTTCACCCGATTCTTAGCACAGATTCGCTGAATGAAGCTTTGTTCAATTCGCCGCTTTTTTGGATTGGTTACATCCCGTATGCGTATGAACATACGGGAAGACTGTGTGGCCACTGTGTGTATCGCACCAGTTTCACATGGTACTTCTCTTCCAACCCTTTGGATCGCCTGTCTTCACGAATCAGACAGTTCACTGCTTTTCAAGATGTTGCACATCTAAACTGCGCCTAGCAAGGTAGATTATTTTCACTATCTTAACTGCTTTTCTCATAGTTGTAATTCAGCAACTATCCAGTCACATATCCCAACTAGAATGGAATAGACATTGCTTCCAGTGATGAAAGATTATTGTTTGCGATTGCCGGTCTGTGCGCTCTGTGGTATGCACGATACATTATTGTTTAACATCTCGTATCTAGTAGTCAACTGTTTGGAATATTCGGCCCCCACTTCGTGGCAGATCATCCGTCAGTTCATCCTCTTCTCAGTGGCAAGTACATCGAGCCGAGTACGCCATAGATTTTTTCGCAGGAAAACCAACTTTTTACTTTTTATTGCCAACTTCATCAAACCACTACAGAAATATGTTCAAACCGGGGCCTACCCGATAGTTATGTTCAAGGCTTGGATCTTCCAATCTCCATCTTCGTCCCGCTTTTCTGCAGTCAGTTTAGTCGCTGGACTCGAGAGAAGTTAACGATGGAAGAACGCTCTGAGCGATTCGTTGAACGCTGGCGTTGAGCTCCTCCCAGGTAGTCGAGTTGTTGATTTGGATTATGCTGATGATATCGTCTTGCTGGGTGACGATCCACAGTTCGTCCAACTTGCATTAAACCGCTTGGCGATTGAAGCATCAAAGTACGGTTTGTACTTTTCGCCATCCAAATGCAAGGCTCTCCTTCAAGACTGGCAGGTGCCTCTGCCTGCACTCACGCTTGCTGGTGAGACACTAGAGGTTGTGGAGAGCTTTGTTTACTTGGGAAGTTGCATCACTGCTGGCGGGGCTGTTGGAGACGAGATTTCGATGCGCATCTCGAGAGCACGTCTCGCTTTTTCTAGGCTGAGGCATTTGTGGCGTCGCCACGACATTCGTCTCTCCATCAAAGGGCAGGTCTATTGTGCAAGTTCGCGCTGTACTGTTGTACGGATGCGAGACCTGGCCCATTCGTAAAGATGACTTGCGCAGGCTATCCGTCTTCGAGCACCGCTGTCTGCGGTCCATTGCCCGTGTGTGGTGGCAGCACCACGTAAGCAATGTGGAAGTTAGACAGCGTGTCTTGGGACGTGGAAGCCACTCGCTCGAGGAGCTCATCTCACTGCATCAACTGCGGTGGTTGGGACACGTATTGCGCATGCCTGTCCAGCGTTACCCCCGTCGTGCGTTGTTTGCACTTGCTGGACAGGGCTGGAAGAGACGGTCTGGTGGACAGCCTACAACATGGAGAAGCCGCATGAAAAAGTTGACGAAACAGTTGGCTTCGGCCGGTTGTTGTCGACTACCTGGTTGGGGTCCGAGAGATGAGGATACTTGCTTATTGAAGACCTTGGAAGTTATGGCTGAAGATCGATGTCAATGGCGGACGTGTGCATCGATTTGTTGCGGTGTCCCTTATTCCTCCCCTAAAAAAAGAACAAACTGGAAAAGAAATTTCAAAGACTGTGAGTGGTAAAATAGACAAAAAAGTATTTGTTGTTGCTTTTTTCTTATTATTCATATTGTTTTCCTATTCAGCCATGATTCCGATGGCACCATATCTGTACCACAGATTGTGTATTATATATATATATATATATATATATATATATATATAACGATGGAATGCGGCTCCGCCGTAATAATAGTATCAGGATTTGATGATTACATTTTCATACTTACGTTCGTTTCCAACATTCCTCAGCTTTTACGACATACTATGATTCCCAACTGTCGTCCTGGTCATTGTCCTCTTTGATTTCACCATTTCCCATATCCTTCGTGCACAGGTTCTCCTATGTGATGTCGACACTAGCCTCCCACCTGGTCTGTCATCTCCCTCCAGCTGCTTCCCATCCGTTCCAGCCGCAATAGTCGGAGAAATAACCGAACCCATGGACACATCTGAAGCCGGCCACCAATCTCCTTTGTGCAGCGCTTCGGATGACTTGTCTAGTTTGTTGGAATTGCAGTCAGAAGGCTTTCTACAAGCATCTCGAGTATGGGTTTCAGTTTTCCACTCCTATGGAGTTCCTACGGTTTGTCAGCTTGGTCTTCCAGATATTTAGCTGTACCTCTCATACTCACTTTAGTTATTTACATCGATTCGTACAAACTCATTGACAGTATTCTCCTCGAGATGTTTTATTTTTGCCATCTCTTTCAACGTCTTCTATTCATAGGTCTCTTTTTCTGATGGTCTTCGTGGTCTGCTTTGCCTGGTCCATCGATCCCCTGCCTTGGCCACTCAGCTTTTCACCCAACTATGGCCTCAACTATGGAACAGATTACTTCTACGCCAACCGATGTTACCAAATGGGGAACTTGTCGACGGGTCTACTCGCTCCTTACCGGGATTTACATCCACTCCATTCTCCGATGAAGCCACCACCCCTCGAACTATGGAGGCAGAATCCATTTTAGTCGCTGATTCACACAGTGGTCAAAATTTGTCCGTAAACGAAGTCCGCGCCTTCGTTATCCCTCAGCTGATCCGATTCATCACGTCCGATCAACACGTAAACCCTGGCGAACCGCAACCCAGCGCACTGGGCGCCTTCCTGTCCGCATTGGCCACTACACCCGACACAGCGTTGGTCTATTTGCCAATTCCGGCAGTCACCGTAAGTCGCAAGCCGCTTTGCGCCTTCTTTGAGCTGCAGCACATAGTTTTTGTTCAATTGTACTTTACTCCGACCATGACAAAGTGAGTGCGTTCACCCAAGAGTTACTTCAGAACTGGACTTGCACGATCAGGTACCATATCTCACGTAAGCCTATTCCCAACGTTCGCTGCGTTATAACAACTGTTGTTGCGAGAAGCTTTCATCCCATCCGTGAAATGATCTTTAGCTTCTTCCCTTGAGCCGTACATTTGTTTCATGCTAAGTACACTTTGGTTTACTCTTTCTTACCAACCCGTTACTGAAGACGTGCCCAGGACGGGGCTGCAAAGACCATACATTCACTTTGCGGCAGTCGCCGCGTATACCACACACCGCCAATAGCTGTTTTCCTGGATTTCAAGAGTGCGTTCGATTCAGTCGATCGATGCATTCTGTTCGAAATACTTGCAAGGGCAGGTGTTCCAATGAGCATTTAACGTGCTCTATACTAGAACACGACACGCCGCGTCAGCGTATACGGTGACCTGCCGGATAGCTCTCTGAAAACAAGTGACGTTCATCTGGGTTATCTGATTTCCCCATTTTGTTCAACTTCGTCCTGGACTGCATCACAGTGTTTCCTTACTGAGCCTCCTATGCAGACGTTCAGGTGCTACTTGGTGAAAGGCTATTTTATCCTGATTATGCGGACGATATCGTCTTGCCGTTTACCGATCTTCGGCGGCGTAATTAACTCTGAATACTCTTTCAATCATATGGCGTGCGCTTCGCACGTTCAAAGTGCAAAGTATTGTTGTAGGGCTATCAGCCACTTATTGACCCCTTGACTCTTGAAGGCTAGGAACTTGAGGTAGTTGATCACTTCGTCTATCTTATCAGCCGCATCAGCAACGATCGTCGCATAACAGCTGTAGTCAGTTCAGGCATTGCAAAAGCCAGCACTACCTTTTGAATCTGCGACACCTTAGGCGACGGAAAATTTTTCCCTCGGTCTGGATGATCGTGTTTACAAGGCCACAATGGGGGCCGTCCTACTCAAGGGGAGTGGGACTTGCCCGTTCGGTTTGAGGATTTGAGGCCCCTTCAGGTCTTTGGTGATCGCTGTCTGCGGAGCCTTGCTGGTGTCATTTTTCACCGGCGTGTTCGCAACGATGATGTGCATGTGCAAGTGCCAAGCAATGATACTCAAGCTAATTCCTTAGGGCAACATGTAGCACTGAATAAGTTGCGTTGACGTGGGCACGTACTACGTATAACTGGTCACCGATTACCTAGGAGGGCCTTATTTTATCTGCAAGATTCGAGGTGGACAGAAGTTGACTTGGCAGCGGGAAATGAAGTCACTGACGACCAAACTGGGTGCCGTTGGTCCGTCTCGCCTTCCAGGTTGGAGTCCACGTGACTCGCCTTGTGCTTGGCTCGTGACTTGACAGGACATGGCTCGCAACCGAGACCGGTGGCGCGACTGCTGCCGTCTCCTAGTCGGACTGCCTGTTTAGAATGTGTTTGGTGCTGAGTTATCTGCGGGGTAATGGCTGATTATGACGCGGGGGATTGAAAGCCGCAAGGTAGCTCTCGTCGATGCCGCCTTGTCTTTACATGCTAGCCAGCTGTTTGTGAGGATATTTTGTTGACACAAGGTGCAGGCCCCTTGACACTGAATGATCGCTTTGGGCACAAAGGTTTTACGGTTGGTCTTCCTTCTATTCTACTTAACCTTTTTTATTAATTAGGTCGCCGCGGTACAACCGCGGCGAAACATCTGTTCAAACGAATGACGTACTACTACTGACGATGACGAAGACATCATGGATGTGGCTGCTGTAAAAACTGCAGAAGGCTGGTCGGGTCACCAAACCTACGCACAGTCTATGCAGTGAAGACTTACACACTATCCAGAATTTGTTATTCTGATAAACGGTAATTTCAACTGCGGGTTTCATAACTAAATGCAATGCTCAAAAGTTCGAACGACAAAACAAGGCTGGTACGAAACGGGATAGTTCTATACGTGTTTCGAAGTAAAGGCATCTAAAGGATTTACATTTAAATCTGTATTAAGTGGAAAATTAGGTAAATAAATTTAGCTAAAAATAGATCTTGGTCAGTTCGGGATTCGTTAGATGAACCGAATGTGTGAACTTCAAGAAGATTAGAATCTTATGCACTACCAACAGATAAAATAGGAACGAAGTGGATTTGCTGATTAACAGATCGTAGCATATTTCATCTCGATTTGGTATTGCTATCCGCCATGCTCTACACCGCCTACCGCTCCATGCTAACGCGCCCCATTTCCAGAGTATCGAGAAAGAAAATCCATCTGGTGAGCAATTGATTTCAATAATTATCATCAGACCATTACAATCATATGGAGGCTAAAAATAAAACTCGACCCAGTTAGTTCAAAACGAATAGATCACGTGTAGGTCTATGTGTGGCGTTGTCCTAGATTTCTTTCGTATTCAGCAATCTTGGGCTGCACTTTATCGTGTTGGTTTAATGCATGTCGTCTTGCTATTGGGATAGATCCGATCACGGCGTAATTGTTTCCAAAATCTGGTCGGATATTCATTATGCTCTACGCAATCATTGAAGAACTGAACACAATACTTGGATTCTGCAACCTTAGTGGAGATCTTGAGGAACTGATTGAGCTCCTTCACCACTAATAGGGGCTTGGATGATTTAAGTAACTTGAAAATTCCCATTTAGGTCTCCAGAACGAAAGTCCATCTGGTGAGCAATTGCTTTCAATGATTCATCATCAGACCATTACAATCATATGGAGGCTAAAAATAAAAATCGACCCAGTTAGTTCAAAACGAATGGGTCACGTGAAGGTCTATGTCAGAGATGAGAAAACGAATTAGGTTTTAGTGGCTTAGTTGTTTGCTACCGCGTCTGACCGAAGGCATTCTACCTGGACGTCTTCCGTCTTCGCTGGCTAGGGAAGCTGGAGAGTCTGGATCAGCTTCTTCTGTGAACATAAGGACGGCTGGAACAATCGAATTCATATTGCTTCAGCTGTCGCAAGTGTGTGAAGGCGGTAACCTTTCGTTCGGTGCGACGGAACCTTGTAAACTATTCGGAAAGCGCGTTTCCAATCCACTTCATGACCGGTGTCCACAATGTGAGTCAGAATGGCGCTACTGATGGTCCCGGCGTCCCGTTGACACAGCCAACGAGGGCAATGTTCGTTCACGCGTTCGGACAACTGCCACGCCGTTCGACCAATATACGTTGCGCCACGGGCGCATACGAATTGATAAATTACCATTGAGTTGGTCAGCATCGGCATTTTGTCCTTGTTTTGTGAACGAATGAGTGGTTCCGTTGAAAACACGCACTTCAACGAGTCTGCTGGGAAGGTCGACTTTATCGTGGCCGGAAGGCTTCTGGTCAGGTACCCTGTAGCCGCGTCCATTTTGAATGGTAAACGAATCAATAGCCCGTTCTTTGCTGCTGTTAACACTGGTATTGGTCTGGGTTTTTCTTGGAAGTTCCTTAAAATAAATCTATCAGGATAACCGTTTTCAAGTAGAGTATTCTGTATGAACATTAACTCCGCGTCTAGGGTGTCTTCCGTACAGATTCGACGCGCTCTTGAAGTAAGACAGTAAACCAAGTTGCACTTGTATCTCATAGGAACGAAACTGTGAAATTCGTGTACTGACCTATCCACGTTGCCTTTCTGTAGACCTGACGCTGGGTGGATCCGTCTAGTCATGTAGTTAACGAGACATCGAGATATGGCAGCCGATTATCGAGTTCCTTCTCGTAAGTAAACTGCACTGCTGCATGCACTCGGTTGAAGTGGTCGAGCATTTCATCCAGATTAACATGTTTATCCACCACAACAAATATATCGTCTATGTATCGATGATAGCGATGAAAAAGATCTATCGCCTCCCGCATTTCGGTTCTCTCTAGCTTTGCCATGACGATATCCGCTAATCGCTGTCCCAGGGCGAGATCCCATGGCCACGCCGTCCTTCTGCCGGTAGTAATTCCCGTCGAATAGAAATTGCACATTCCAGGTGCAACGTAACAGTAGTCCTTTGAGCTCATGCGTAGGTATACACACTTTTATTCTTGACTCGCCTACATAGTCGCAGATGTAATCGATCGTCTTAAGCAGTGGGACGTTTGTAAAGAGAGACATCGAAAGAGAGCATTACTTTCGCATTGATTTTATCATCCTTGATCCTTTCGACGGAATGGAAGTTGTCCTAAAGGTTGCAGGTAGCGAGCTGTTGTCGCACAGGTTCAGCAAGTTCTACAAGCCACTGAGCAACGGTATGGTACGGTGAGTTGACCATTGATAAAATAGGACGAAGTGGTATGTTGAATTGTGGATTTTTGGGAACCCGTAAAGTCTTGGGACGCTTGTGCCACTCTGTTTAAGACTGTGATGCAGAGCATCTGAAATGTACCCCTTGGCCTGGAGTTCTTGCAAGCTCTTAGTTATCTGTGTTTCAAAAAGTTCACTTCGGTCCCTTTCTCCTTCGATGCACTCAAATTTTGTCTCACCGCTCATTATTGCTGTTAGTTTATCTATGTAATCTTTTCTATCGTGTAACACGATTCCAGCGCCTTTGACCGGCCTGAACAGTCCGATTTCCTCATGCTAAATGCGGGTGGCGATATATCTTTTTGACCGCTATCATCGATACATAGACGATATATTTGTTGTGGTGGATAAACTGTTAAGCTGGATGAAATGCTCGACCACTTCAACCGAGTGCATGCAGCAGTGCAGTTTACTTACGAGAAAGAAAACGATAATCGGCTACCATATCTCGATGTCTCGTTAACTACATGACTAGACGGATCCACCCAGCGTCAGGTCTACAGAAAGGCAACGTGGATAGGTCAGTACACGAAATTTCACAGTTTCGTTCCTATGAGATACAAACGCAACCTGCTTCACTGTCTTACTTCAAGAGCGCGTCGAATCTGTACGGAAGACACCCTAGACGCGGAGTTAATGTTCATACAGAATACTCTACTTGAAAACGGTTATCCTGATTGATTTATTTTAAAGAACTTCCAAGAAAATCCCAGACCAATACCAGTGTTAACAGCAGCAAAGAACGGGCTATTGATTCGTTTACCATTCAAAATGGACGCGGCTACAGGGTACCTGACCAGAAGCCTTCCGGCACGATAAAGTCGACCTTCCCAGCAGACTCGTTGAAGTGCGTGTTTTCAACGGAACCACTCATTCGTTCACAAAACAAGGACAAGATGCCGATGCTGACCAACTCAATGGTAATTTATCAATTCGTATGCGCCCGTGGCGCAACGTATATTGGTCGAACGGCGTGGCAGTTGTCCGAACGCGTGAACGAACATTGCCCTCGTTGGCTGTGTCAACGGGACGCCGGGACCATCAGTAGCGCCATTCTGACTCACATTGTGGACACCGGTCATGAAGTGGATTGGAAACGCGCTTTCCGAATAGTTTACAAGGTTCCGTCGCACCGAACGAAAGGTTACCGCCTTCACACACTTGCGATAGCTGAAGCAATATGCATTCGGTTGTTCCAGCCGTCCTTATGCTCACAGAAGAAGCTGGTCCAGGCTCTCCAGCTTCCCTGGCTAGCAAAGACGGAAGACGCCCAAGTCGGCTGCCTTCGGTCAGACGCGGTAGCAAACAACTAAGCCACTAAAACCTAATTCGTTTTCTCATCTCTGACATAGACCTTCGCGTGACCCATTCGTTTTGAACTAACTGGGTCGATTTTTATTTTTAGCCTCCATATGATTGTAATGGTCTGATGATGAATCATTGAAAGCAATTGCTCACCAGATGGACTTTCGTTCTGGAGACCTAAATGGGAATTTTCAAGTTACTTAAATCATCCAAGCCCCTATTAGTGGTGAAGGAGCTCAATCAGTTCCTCAAGATCTCCACTAAGGTTGCAGAATCCAAGTATTGTGTTCAGTTCTTCAATGATTGCGTAGAGCATAATAAATATCCGACCAGATTTTGGAAACAATTACGCCGTGATCGGATCTATCCCAATAGCAAGACGACATGCATTAAACCAACACGATAAAGTGCAGCCCAAGATTGCTGAATACGAAAGAAATCTAGGACAACGCCACACATAGACCTACACGTGATCTATTCGTTTTGAACTAACTGGGTCGAGTTTTATTTTTAGCCTCCATATGATTGTAATGGTCTGATGATAATCATTGAAATCAATTGCTCACCAGATGGTCTTTCGTTCTGGGGACCTATGTGGGCATTTTTAATTTATTTGCGCGGTGTCTTTAGTGATATAAACCAATGTGGTAAATGGAGGGGTGTCATTTTTTATTCGGAATCTAACCAAACTATTTCATGATCGGTGTATTTCTGGAAGAAACTGGCATCGTTGGCCTGATCTAATCCCGCTTCTTGTTGGAAACGTTTTTACGGATGACATTTATCCGCTTCCCTGCGGCAGTGCTTTGTAGGCTTTTGGAGCCAGCAATCTAGATGACTACATGGGACCATCCGAGTTGTTTTATTTCGCGAATAGCGCAGCACTACTCGGTGTCACTGCGGCATGGCACTATAAAGACGACTTACGGCTCCGTTTTAGAGCACTTGCTAGACAAGGGACATTACATCCAAAAGAAAGATCCCATTAGAGCGCTCTACATTGGGTCCAATGGATCATTGAAAGGACTCAGAAAACTTATGTTGGCAACTACGGAAGCCATGGCAATCAAAAAGCTGCAATCGGAGTTGTGCAAACAGAAACCACATGTGCAAGGCATGCTTCTACCATGGCAACAAATCACTCAACTGACTTTTGGCTTTTCGATCTATGGCTGTGTGGCTACTGACCGTTGCATTTCACAAACTAAACACTGCGTAACCATGCTACGCTGGCAGTGCCTTATTATCCCATTGATAATGTAATTCATACTTATATTTGATTGAGGATAAATGTCGAAAGAACAATTCTTCGCAACTACTCATTGCTTGGCATCGGACTGGTAGGCATCTTGTTAGCGTTCGCATCAAGCGCACATGGGCGCCACATATCAGACAAGCGATAACACACACCCACATTGTTCTGATGTAGCCCAACTTGCGCATCTGCGAAACAATGCCACATGTAGTGTCCGTAATACTGGATGGATCGTCCTTTGGGTGCACTGAAATTCACTGTTCCCACTTGCTCGCTGTATTTTCCGACGTAAGCACCTGATGACTTGACTTTGTACTTTAGCAGGTCTGCTCAGCCTAAACACACACATGATCGCTTGCGTTGAGCACCGTGTGCGTAGTAACGGCGCGCTGATTAGTACCATCGCGCTACTGCTGTTACTTACACACTAGACGTTTGTGTTCCCCTTGCTAAGAGCATTTCTCCTGGCACTTATTAGACGGGATCCTCGATGTGACCTTGCCATTTCCGACGATCCACTACCACTTCTTACCAGCGCTTGTGTTCATTATCAGTTCGGAGTAACTCCACCTTAATCGGGTCTGGACAACGAAGCTTCCGTTTGTATGCGTTACCTCTCGCTGCACTGAGTTGGTCATACAACCAGTTTTTGGGTATTCTGGTCACATCCGTTCGTCGTACAATGCCACAGCAGTGACCTACCGTCCATTCGGCACCTGCTACTTGTTTTGGGGACACCAAAATATCGGATACTCCCATACACCAACGGTTGTGCAAGACCCACTGCTAGCAGGTGTCCTACTTTTAAGACGTCCAGCTTTCATCGCTGTAGAATTGGAACGAAAGTGCCCCAATACCAGTTTGATTCCAGCCGTCCAGTGATGATACTACTGCACTAACGTTTGCCGAAACACGTATTTGCCTTAGTTATACGGATGCGCAGGTTGTAGATTATGCGCAAGTCTGGCCAATAGTGCACTTACTAGATATCAGCAGTGTGATACGTTCTGTAATGCTTCGTCAGCGTGGATTTGTGTACAGAGTATGAACTTCATACGTGGTGAAGTTACGTCTGGTTCTGCTTATGCATCCGTACCCTGTCTTCGCTCTGTGACTCATTTTTCAGGCCTTGACATGATCTGATTTCATGTAGTAATTCGCTCACTTACCGAGTTTCATTTGTGGTTCCAATGGCGGACATCTCGCAGTATATTAGTCTTGATCTCGGAAACTCGGTAATACACCTCCGCTCCTGACCGTCTGTTGTTAGAGATCAGCTTATAGTATCCGTTATATGTTAACTACTCGTGTTTGATGTGTGCTGTGTCCACACTGGAGTTCGTAGCCCATAGGACAGGCTGCATTGGTATTCTTTACTACGAATGCGCAACTTGAAGTCCACCATTACTTACCACCACCACCACCCCCGGGCTTCCCCTATTCCTGCTATATTGTTCACTCTGCGCTGTATATGAGTTGATCGAGTGTGTGTGTGGTTGTCTATTTTTAGCGCTTACAATCAGATACCATGGTCAAATCTGTACATCGTTTCGTGCATGTAATTGTTGTTTTCTCACTGATTTCCGTTATACGAAATATTGTTCGACTAGTTTTGAATGCCGGAATTCCAGAAGCGTAGGGTTGCGAATATAGTATAAACTGGTCCGATTACAGCGATGAGTGTATGGGAATTATCGAATTCTACTTACCCCCGTTTGCTCTTGAGTAACAGAGATTTAGCTATGTTTATCTGCTATTCTAGTGCAGGTATAGATAAGAAATGCATCTGAAACGATTTCCAAAGCTGAAGTTCTCTAACGCCATACTTTCCGCCCATGTGTATTTCCGTCTAGCCACATTTGGCACACCCGTCTATGTTATCGACAAGGGTTTTCGTTCACTACGTATTATCCAAGCTGTTATCCATTCTCTTCACGCTTCTACACATAAATAGGGTTGCTGGCATCCGGTTCTGGATTTGCCTGTCACTGTGACCTCCATAGAGACAGTCACTGGACGTATATGTGTATATACCAAGTCTGGGTTGCGTGTGTGATCGCCGCTTACATCTTACCTACGTATCACTCAGTTGTCTCTCTCCCACTTCTGTCGCACTTTAGTACATCGGTTCATCATACAACCAGTGGTACACAGTTGCTCTGTTTGTCGAATCCGTTTGTGCTCACGCGAAAGTTCAATCCACGTCGACCGACTTCGTTTACAACGTGAGCTTGCCTCCCATTGAATCGGCAGACCCCAACACACTCACACTCTGGCAGCCCAGCGATTTGCCGACAGGTACCGCTGCACTCTCGCTCGTCGCTTTGTACGATTCCCTTGCAGACGAAGACTATCTAAATGCCGCATGGTGGAATCGATTCGCCCTGAATCGCTCGGCACTCACTCGTACTGGTTCAATGTTGAGGTGCCTGGAATACGCTCAGCATGGACACACTGTACGCGCTTTGGAGGTCGCGCTTGATCTGTTGGCTATACCCTCCTCGCCGAGTACCCCAGTTTCCTCGGCAGCTGAGGGCTCTAGTGCTGCTTCCACTGCCTCTTCCAACCGAGCTGCTGCATCGCGGACTACCCCATCCTCCACCACTTCACCTATGACTGCGATTGCTGCATGCAGTCAGTTCAGCGATCATGTCAACAGATCTCGTCTTCATGACTACTGCATTCGGTAGGTTCTCGTGTGTACCCACTCGGCACATCCATTTTCTTGTTTTATCCTATCGATTGTGTTACCAATCAACTTTTCCACACTGGTCGGTGGATTTTTACTTGACTTCGCTTGATTTCTAGACAAAATTTCAAGCGGTACCAGATCCCGTCATCATCCCACTTGCTTTTCAGCTATTTGAAGCGACTCGGACAGTGGGACAGTCTCAGTTCTTTCGCATCTAATGCTCAGGCCAACTCCTTCTTCTCCCTTAATGCAAACACGCCAGTCTCTGGATCCACTGGTGGCCAAAGCGGCCCCACCTCCAGTGCCAGTGGCAGCTCAAGTGCGAGCTCAGGCGCTGCGGTTGGAACCAGTGTTACAGCAAGCGGCACTGCTGTGACTACCACGGGCTCTGGTGGCTCAGCTTGCTGGGGTATCAAGGCAGATGCTGCCTGGAGGCGCAGCGATTGGTCCGAAGTATACTCAAGTTTGGCCCGAGTAAGCTGCAAATTGATGTGGCTCTTTTTGACGTTACTTCATTGTAATATTTTCTGAATTCCTTGTCCTGTCGGTTGCGATCATCATGGACAATCTCCGAAGTGGACCACCTCTGTATGCTGACCACGTCTCTAAGTTGACCGTTTTTTTTCTCATAGTTTGAACATTCATCTTGTACACCCTACGGAAACATACCTCCGTAGGTCGACTACTTGGCCCATGTTGGTGATCATTAATTTAATCTCTCTAACTTAACCACATGAAAATTTAACGCGCAGTGGTTACCGAACGACTCGCGCGCATAAATAATCATATGTTTAGGACGGGGTTTTGCAGTGTGTGAGATTCTTCGCCGAACATAGTCGGGGCAAAGTCGGTGTCTGAATGCAAGAAATTCCTGCACAAGTACTTTGCCAACATAATTTCGCGAATGCTCTCTAACCTAGCAGGTCATTGGATCTGAGGGATATTAGATACAAATGACTTGATTTAGTAGCGAGTCACATTTGCCACGTCGCAGTGTGGCTTTTTGTAGGGAGTATGCGTGCTAGCCGTGAGCCTAACACATCCTGAAATACTGCCGCCGAACCACCCAGCCAACACCACGTGAAGATTGTTTGGCAAGCCAATTGCCGTTTATTTTATACTTTCAAAATATTCCCCATTTTTGTGTTTTCCCATCTTTGTTCACTTGATGTTTGATGTGTGCTACTCCCTTTCCATCTCTTTCTCACCCACACTTCAGTTGGCTAACGAATGTCCCCGGAACGAGCTCTGTCGTTACGCTCTCATCCAGGGCACTGCATGTGTCGCCGGTCGACGCGCCTCCGGACCCATTGGCGGCCAAAACATTTTGCCCGGTACTTGTGACCTCGATGCCTGCAGTACATCAGGCACTATTGCGCTCAATGGAACTGGTGATTTGCAAGTCAGCACTAGCTCTGGATCGATCTCCACTGGAGGAGGCAGCAGTGTTGTCGGGCAAGGTTCCACGACTTCATCTGCAAATGTTAACTATGTGGTCACGTTGCTACAAGCTTCGGAGCTGGAAAGTCATCGCATCATGACAACCGTTCTCCGTGAATGGCGGCGTCTTCCACTCATCGTGACTCGGCAACATGTTCCCTTATTGCAGGTGAATTTGAGCACTTTCACTTGTTCCCTGCTGATCATTTGAAATGCTAGCCGTAATTTTGGTGCTTATCACAGATGGGTTACACTTTCGATTCATTGCGGATTTAAATCCGCTTAACCCGCTGTAAACGTATTGAATTGAGTGCAACCTTCAGAAGTACTGTTGGTTTACTTGGTGCACACGTACATTCTGAGTGCGTACCAACCTAGCTTTTAACGTTTCAGTTGTGTTTTGAGAATCATGTATGGAAGAAACTGATGGTAACTGTGGGGTGGAGTCTTCTTCCTTTCTTTACGCTTGCATAGAATGTTACTCAATCTAACTCGACATCATCCAAGGCTATGGATCTGAAATCAAGCCTAAGCTTTAGTGAGATGTTTTAGGCATGCAGTTACCATGTGTCCACTCGCTAAATACATCGTATATTTCTGCTGTACATTTCGTCTGAACAGCGAGAGGAAGACATATGCTGCGACGTGTTAACATCTCGATTGTTCTCATCAACCACAAACCATCAGAACACACACACACACACTGTAATGTTTATGGAACAATTGGCAACACCAATCGACAGGACCCAATCCAAACTTGAGCAACCTAATTGCTTGCCTCAACACACTGGTCACATCATTCTTCCATGTGCGGTACCATTGGTCCGACACGGGGATCAAAGGTCATTTGATGCCGACCAGGGTCCCGCTCAACGGGACGCGGTCACCAACCTCGTCAAGGCAAAGCAAGTCTATTCACGAACTCGATATGTTCCTACCAAATACGTTAGAGCCGCCGAATTGCGGGGACTTCGACAAACTGTACTAGGCAATTGGCGCTGTCTGCCTAACATTCCGAATGAATCACTGAGGCTTTGGCGCTTTGGGCAGTCGATTAGCTGCCAAGCAAACGAACTAGCATTTTTCCACGTACGCATTTTCCCTTATGCGTATGTTTACATGCAAAGCCCCATGCTGAGGCTGATGTTGCATTCATGATGCTTCTTCACCGCAGTTGGGCTAAACCAACTTACACTTAAACTAGGTCTCTTTAAGCTGCATAAATTTCATTCCACTTTATTTGGTTTGTTCTGCCTACCTGATTAATCTTCTATTAACTGGCCACGTTGCTTACACTCATTGCGCTTATCTTCGATAACTTTGTTGCGTTTGTAGCATTTTTGAATAACTTGTGGACATTTCTTACTTATCGCGGATTCGTTGCTAACCAACTTACTTCATATGCTAATTTAGCGGAGTTATACCACCGTATCCGTATGCATTATTGGATTTGTTTTATGTCATCTTGTCGTTTCAGGTGATTGTCTGTTGCTTGATATCCCCGGTGTGGCTGCGCTTGATGTGCATGTTGACAAGATGCCTACCTGTCTATTACCCACTACCTCGTCCATACTGCCTCCAGGAGACAGTTGGTCGTTGCTGGAGGGGACGGGGTGCACGGTCCTTGTGGCCGTGCTAGGCTCGAAGAGCGGTTCCATTCACTCAGTGTGGAGCGGACTACGGTCCAGCCACTGCCTTGTGTGCGCTTGATTCCCAAATACAGCGTGCTTGTGTTTGCCTGTGAAGGAGTGTGGGCCGGCTCCGTTGATGAAACGTGGCTCCCATCCACATGCCTCCTGGTCTTATTTCTTCGGATTTACTCTGGATATGGGGTGTGTGGTTGGAGCTGTGGGTTGTGCAGCGCAAGTCACCCATGGTCCCTCTGTAGGCGCAGGCGTCCTGTGGCTTGCCACAGTGACAGGCAAATCCGAAACCAGATGCCGCCAACCATGTTTACATGCGCGTTTTTTCATGTGTGCTTTCGTCATGAAAACCGTTGCTTTGTGTTGCTGATTGTTCCATGTACATAATTTTCACTTTTATTGTGTTTCCAGTTGCGAAGACAATCGAAGGGTTGACATGTCTCAGCATATATCTTCTCTCTGCCTTAACGATTTTTAATGTAATATGAGCTAACCAAATGAAGGCGACTGATCCTTCTAAATCAAACGTTGACAGCTAACTACCCTTTTTAATCGCTTTTAAACTGCATTTTCCCCTAGTAGGTGTGCAGTATTGAGCATGAAAAGCATATCTAACGACACCACGGAAAAAGGACGGTTTCACTCACTGCAGGACAGCTTTCATTTAATAAGCTACTATTTAGCCAGCATCCAAGGACGTCTCTAATGGCTTCATATAGCCTTTAGTTGTTGATGTACGCAGGTGGTTCGTCACTACCACTAGTTCCGGCCGTATTGCACCACACATTCGGAAGAGCGCTGGAGCGGCGGTTCCTTCTTTCGAGACACGTACACATTACTCGTTCCATCGACCTACGAAATAGCTATAACTTGTGACCCATGTGATAGCTTCTTAAAGATGCACACAGCTGCGCCGAGTTCCTCTTGCCGTTACTTCCTGTTTCAGCAGAGCTTCCTCGTGGGACTGCCCCGCCACTTTAGAATGATCATACCATACCAAGCGGTATACGTAGTTTCAGCCAACTGTCTTAACTTTCAATATAGCAAGAAGAAACAACATTTTAACAGGATTTACTGAATTCAGCAATTTCGCGTATTCTCCTCAGCTGTTTGCATACAATTAGTGGAATTAACGGATCGCATAGCAAAGACAATCAGAGTGTGATGTTGCTGACAAAAATTCAAAGCGGTCGAAAGCCATTAGGCTCAAGTGACCCGTTCTGAGGAAAACGTAATCACCAGCCTCACCAAGGGAGGGCGAACGTGGTCGCGAAATCAGTTTGCTTGCACAAATTTGGTTTCAACCGCCGAATCGCCGTCACCTCAGTAAACTGAAGTAGGCGAAAAGTAGTTTGTTTGCCAACTACCTTGAAATTGCCACGTGGGTTTTAGCATTCAGGGAAGTCAAGTATGTGGCGGGCAATAGACCTAGTTGGTAGCTTCGGGCCATTAGCGATCATGTTTCGCGGGACATGCTCTGTAATCCTCGCTTTTGGACTTCACTCAATTCGGCCTAGGTACTTGCTACCGCAACTGCAGTTAACGTGGTAGATGCATGAGGCGGTAACTTGAGAGTCCGGTCTGTCCAGGTTGAATTTACAGTACATCCCTCAGACTTGGTGCAATATCACTAGCTCAACCGTATAGTAACACTTCTTAATTGACTGATGGATGCGATGCCGGCATCTTTTGTCACCTTCATCTCCTTTGAACGACAGCGTAATAAATACCTTTTTCTTCGGGACATCTGTTGGTGCTTTATCTCTGGATTGTATTTTCGCGTGCCGTGCTGAATTGCGCGGCATATCCGCTCTCTTGTAGCATCGTGGTGGCAAGTTCCAGTTCACACTCGATTGTATCCGAAGAGCAAATTTGATGAGGTCTATCGAAAGTGGTACGTACTAAAGATCGTTTGAAATTCATTGGACAGAAGCTGTTAAAGTTCAAGTATTGTGCCGTCCATGTTGATTTTCTATACGCAGATTGAACGAGTGTGCCATCTGGCTTTCCCTGCAAGTTAACATTTAAGCAATGGAACGATCCATCAGATTCGTTTTCCATTGTGAACTTGACAGATGAATGACAAATATTCATCACTTTCAATAAGTGTACCATTTGTTGGAATGTGTCAACGACAATGAATGTGTCATCTGTATACCGGCCATAAAAGTGTGTATATTGTAAGATAACACTGTGTTTTCCAGGTAACCCATGCAGATAACAGTCAAAACTGGGCCCAATGGACTGCCCATGGCCACTCCGTCGATTTGTAGATATAGGGTCCCATTGAACTGTAACTGAATATCTTTTGTGCATAGGCGCAGTAATGACTTGACTTAGGGCGCTGGGAACCTGACTTTGTCAGCTTGTCTGGCTATTATATCTAACGTTTCTTCTAAAGGGATGTTCAGGAACATTAAGGACACATCGAAAAAGACTGTGTGCTTTCCCTTTACGTTTAAATTGCGTATCTTGTTGACAAATTCAAACGTGTTTCTTAGGCTGTAGTCGGTCGGTTCCCTCCAGATGGGCTCGATAACTTTCGCTAGCCATCGCGGTAATTTTTGATATGGTGCATCTACCATTGAGGTGATTGGACCTAATGGGATACCCTCCTTATGAGTTTTCGGTAAGCCATGCATGTTAAGAAGTCGTGATTCCTGGGGAGGAGGGGCATAAATGGGTCATTCAATCAATCCGGCCTTCACTAGCTTCTTCAAACCATGGACTATTAGCTTCCCATATGCTCGGTTTGTCAAATCACGAATGAAGGGTTTAGAGTCCGCAAGAATTGTTTGGACTTTTTTAATCTAGTGTTGCTTTTCCAAAATTACAACTCTTGATCTCTTGTCGGGTCTCAGTATTACCAGATTTTCATCTCGCTGCAGTTGCGTCGAAGATTCCCAATAATCCTTTGTTAGGACTCTACACTTTTCCGTTTCACTGACACAGAATTAATTCACCAGATATACCATTTTAACTCTAAACCAACCACCTGCATCCTTGCTAACCGGTGTGAAACTGGACGGTTGTTCGTATAGGTGCTCAAACAGCTTCCATCCCTATTCTATAACATCTATTTGGTGAAGCTAAAAATTTGGAACCCAGCGATAAAGCTTCAAGTTGATGACGACGTAGAGAGATGGTTGGTAGATTTAACACATACTTCTCAGGTTCTAACTGCAACTGATCGTTTAAACATTCCGGTGAGATGGAACGCATTAGATGCTTTCTTGTATTTGAACGCGTTTTTCGAAACAAATTGCGAAGGAAGTTGAACTATTTTGCACGCCATACAGTATTTAAACAATTGGGTACTTGATCCACAAACTACTCCTCGCCTACTTCAGTTTACTGAGGCGACGGCGATTGAAGGCAAATTTGTGCAAGCAAACTGATTTCGTGACCACGGTCGCTCTCCCTTGGTGAGGTTAGTGACTACGTTTTCCTCAAAACGGGTCACTTGAGCCTAATGACTTTCGACCGCTTTGAGTTTACGCCGTCAACATCACACTCTGATTATCTTTGCTATGCGATCCGTTTATTCCACTAATTGTACGCAAACAGCTGAAAAGAATACGCGAAATTGCTGAATTCAGTAAATCCTGTTAAATCGTCGTTTCTTCTTGCTACACAGAAATTCGTGAAGGGAAATGCCTGCATGAAATGTCTAAAAGAAACTGTTTTAACTTAGTCTCGTCTTATCTGGTGTGTCGCCAACTCAAGCCACAATCACTGCCCCACACTCGTCTCTTTTCCGTTGGTTTTATGCCAGTGGAAGTTTTGTATCTTTCAGTCCTCCATGTTACTTTCGTAAGATCTATTCTTCCCCTATCTTCCTCGGTTGCATTTGTTCCGCTCGCCCACCTTCTTTGCTTTTTCCTCACCAACGATGATTGAACCTTCAACTTCTTCTGAATGGATTCTCCTTATTTATCTGGTAACGCTTTATGGCGTACATGTAGGCTTCCTGTATCCGTGGTCCGTTTGTCTTCCTCAATCGACTGTAGGCTTTTGATACAACTACTCCTAGTTTCAAACTGCTATGGATATAGCGTCTAGTGTTTTGACGTCATCATCTCGCAGACTAACCACTGTCAGTGACAGTGAAAGATAGGTGGTGCTATATCCCAGTTAGTTTGCAAATTATGTAGCCCAGCCAACGCCCCCCATGGCTCAGTGGCTTAAGCTGCTGACTAGTTGGCGTCTGTCTCTATCGGTCATGCGTTCGATGCTCCTTAGAGGACCGAGGGGATGCGCACCACTGACGAGCCCCAACAGGGCAAAACGCGTCTGGTGCTCTTCCGGACTAGGCTCTGCTATGTAGCTTATGAACTACTGGGATGAAAACCTTAACAAAATTACAATTAGAATCCTGCTACTTACCAGTAATGCAACTATGACTCGTCAACTTAGCTTGCTATCCTTCGTGACAGTATTTGGATACGCTATTTCACTAAGTCGCTCACTTCATTTTCATCAGGTGAATGCGAATTCCGAGGATGGTTTGGATCTTGCATCCTATAAGCGGAAATTGACCACACTTGCGGGCCAATCATGTAACCAATACTTCTCTAATTCTCATGATTTCTATCAGCGATTCTCTTCTATCCGGGAAGCGCTTCAACCATTATTTCCTGTTGGATGCTTTAAGGATAAGTATTTCCCCTTAGCAATACACTGGGTTAACGGAATGCATTCGGAGCCTACTAGAAAACAACCCACGCGTTCACCAACGAGTCATCCAGTTGATTACAATTTTGTTGGCTTGATGGATAGCTCTGAATTGGTTCGGTTTGATGTCGATGAAACGCAGTATTGTTCACGCTAAGAAAAAGATCATTGTGAGTCTTGTATATCTGTGAATCGCGACACTTAATCGCAGTTTGAACTCTGATTTACATCAAATTAAACTTGGATCAGCGGGATCACTGTGACAATGTTTGGAGTAGATAGATGTTGCTGTCACCTGTTCTTAACCCCCAGCACAACACGACTGGTTTCGCGTGTTGCTTTGCACTCTTCAAGCAAACCATCGAGTAAGAACTCGAACCTGGAATGTAGTGAATTGTCGTTGGCCACGTGACCAACTCGCAAGGTTTGCACACGCGCATTATTCCAATAGACTGCTAGTCCAACTTGCTGATGAACTTCAATCCTCTCCCACATTCTCAGCCTGTTTCACCAAATGGGATCAACATATGGGAGTGCTTACCTTTTCCGAAAACTTGCTCTTGCGTTTCCAGACCGGGTTAACTCCATCCGGCATAATTATCGTTGATGAAATCAGGTTCAACTCTCCTGTGATTTTCATATAGTTCTCATCATCATCCTCAGTGGTTGCTTATCGTTGACCATTGTTCACCTTGCAATTATTTCGCATTCTCACCCGTCATGTTACCTCTGGCGATACGTCCTCAACTTTTCGTTCCCACAGATTGCACATCGCGCTATCGAAATCTCCGAAGGAAACAGCTTATTAGCGCAATATTGTGGTCACCTATTGGCCGGACCCGCTGTCCCTCCCGTCGGTCTCTCATCTAGTGGTGGACCTCCGCCGTACTCATCAGCAACCGGCCAATCTACCTCTGCAACGCCCAGCTCGGCATCTGGTGCCTCTCCGCCTTCGTCCCAAGCTGCACTAGTAGCATTGCGTATGCCACTGAACCAGGCCTTGCACGATTACAAAACTGTGTTCAAATCATGGCAGTGAGTATTTCTGTCCCCCGCCTTGTTACAGCAAGTGAGACGCGCTGCCAATCGCATGTGTGTATGAAAGCTTTTCTTGATGTAGGCTGGATTGTCATGTTATTGAATCTTATCCATATTTCATTCTTAACATAAGATGCTGGACGTAGAAAGGTTGTACGTCATCATCGAGAACAACGGCAATACCGTAATAGTTTGTATTGCTGCTTCGCTTTCATACAACCGTTATGACCCCGATGGTGTAGAACGATAATGTGGAAACAAATAATTTAGTGTGAACCTAAATACGCAAGACACCTGCATTCATGTTCAAGTCCATACACTCTGCCAACAACCCACGATTACAGGCGGCTGGCTATCGGGCGGTATCGGCGAGACGACTTCCTTGTCACTTTCACTGCGATAAGCACAATTGCCCCCATGGATAGCAAAAACATAGTTATATGCTAGATGGGACACTGTCAGGCCGCCTAACCCAGAGAGGAGGGTGACTAGCGTCTGAAATGGTTGAAAATGATTAGGGTAATAATAAAAAGTATTTGACACAAAGACGGACCAAAATGCAGCGAGAATATATCGTCTGTCCATAAGACTATCAAATACTGCAAAAATGTTATCACCACAGCTCGAATAAGCAGGGGATTTATTTTGTTTGGCTTTTAAGCATTGACGCCACTCAATACACTCCACTGGATCCCGCTTCACATCAAAGTCCAGACTCACTGCGAAATCACCAATCCAGACTGCATGAGATGTATATTGTTTCGAAGCCGTTTCAAACGTGCATGTTTCGCTTTTAGGCACCCCATCCTTACTTTGGTGCTTGGTGACTATAAGCCCACTTTTTTTACACCAAGGTTGAAATTTGGATCCTTATTGGGATCACTAATTTCACAATGTCAGATATGGAGAAGTGTATGCTGGTCTCGAGCGCTTTCCTGTATACCACCAATTTCAATCTTCGCTCGTTATTAAACATCCACAGTTTATTCAGGTCTTACTATTGTTCATCTAGTGTTGCCGTGATTTGCGGTAGTTGTTTTGTCAGGGCGGTGCAGTACGCTTCTATGTATGAATCAACATTCACCATTGCTCTGTGAATTGAGATAGGTACAGATAAACTGAGCCACGAAATAGCTGCGCGTAGTTCCGACGCACTGTTACTGGACCGCCTTTCTTGCAGGAGAGGACCCCTCCCCCTCCGGCAAAACATGCTTTACACAATTTCACTCTCTGGCGAAAGCATGAGTTATTTTTAACAGATGACAGCAGCAGTGGTGGCCTAATTCATTCCGTTTGGCTAAATTTCATCACATCTGAATCCACAGCCGGTGCATGCATTATCTCACCTAATCTTTCGATTCAGTCGTCGGCTTGCTTTCACATTGAGCGATTTTCCCAAGTCCCTTTTGCTTTGTGTCTTTCCCCACTCCCTTGTTTAAAATATCACAGCGTTTGGTCGTAGCTGGGAAAGCTCGTTGTTCGAGATCCGCCATCCGTTTCACTCTGCAACTAACTGCTGCTTTCTGCGATTGTTAAGCTGTAGCTCTATTCCGCAACTATCTCTGTGTTCCCACTATTGTTATGCTTGCTTCCGCCATACTTTATCTTGCCTTACTTTTTACACCTCAGGAGCCGACACCCATCCATCAGCGATGATTTGGGGTTTTGGCACGATGTGTACTCGTGGCGGCAGGTGGTGGAGGAGACCATCATTAGCTGTCATCCACACATGCAGAAATTCGGTCAGGAGCGAGTGAGTTATTTTGTGACTGGATATCACTTGGCGAACTGGTGATACCGTGGTCAGTGAGAAACGTATCTGAGGCTTGATTATTGCTACTTGAAATAGTCTTGCTAATCTGGTCTAGTGTGACTCTTCTTGAGAACACGAAGTTGTTGTTGGACGGACACTAGCATTTACCATCATTTCCTTCCGTCACACATTCTACACCGAATCAATCAAATATCGTAAATTGACACTATGTGGGATGATGCTGATTTTCCCTAGTGCGTTTGTTAACCCGGCATGCTGCGTCTCGCAGGTCACCACCGCTTTCCCTGCTAACCTTGATCATAGCCCCTTGATTTGCAACCATCATTTTTCTGTGCGCGTTGCTTGTGTGCTCAGTTCTATTATCCTGCTGCATATACCGTGTCCCTTTTGTGTGTGTTTATTTTGCTTCAAATTATGTATTGCTTGTTGTATAACCCCGTAGGATGGCTGCGCTTGATGTGAATGTTGATAACGTGTCTAGCTGTCTAGCACGCTCCACCTCGATTACTGACTCCAGAAGACTGAATCGTTGCTGCAGGGGACGGGGTACACGGTCCTCCTGGTCGTGCTAAGCTCGAAGAGTGGTTCCATGCACCCCCTGTGGAACGGACTAGGGTCTAGCCACCGCCTTGTGTGCGACTGATTCCCAAATACTGCGTGCTTATGTTTGCCTGTGAAGGAGTGTGGGCCGACTCCATTGATGAAACGCGGCTCCCATCCACCTGCCTCCCGGTCTTATTCCTTCAGGTTTACTCTGGATATGTGTGTGAGTGGCGCAACGCGATCCACCCATGGTCCTTCTGTAGGCGCAGGTGTTATGCGACTATCTTAAGGAAGCCGCAGTGATAGGCAACTCCGGAACCGGATGTCGCCAACTAGGTATGAATTTAAATAGCTTGAATTTGGATGTGACGTTGCGTTTGAAATTGTATACAGTCAGATCGTCGACGTAAATAGGATTCAATGTAAATCTTCGGCCTTGAGGACTGACGTCATAGAGTGGGGAAGAGTATTCGAAAAAGCAATAGGCAGTGACTTTATTCAGTGGTAAATCACATCTCGCACGTCGCAGTGTTATTAAGGAAACTTATGTAGTGTTTTACGGTAAACATGCTTACCAGGCGGAAGTGCACCACGTTCTGGAGTACGGCCGTCGAACACTTCGCTGGAATTAAGTAAAACCGATCCAACCAGCTGGCACCACGCGGAGGTACTTCGAAACCCCAGCACGCACATGCGCTCGAGCTACCTGAGTCAGTTCAACTTTGACCCACACTCCAACGCAGCACATTCTGACACAGACGACACCCTCCGTTTGGCGGATTCGTTCCACTTGATCTAACAAACACCTCAAGTTTGATCGCAACGCGTCAACAAGTGGATATTATGGTTCACTGTGAAGACAGTGCGATTCTGCTGTGCCGACCTGTTCTGCTGATTCAGTATTAAGAAATGCTTGTTTATTCGCCCATCCCATACCGACGTATTACCAATGAATACCGACTACTAGCCATCGAGATGGTCGTCCATCCATCTAAATCGACTCACATATAGCTGTGACGGCTCGATAACGAAAGCGTGTGTTTTCTTACACTGACTGTGATTCACACATGTCGGTGAAAATGTACTGCGTGTTTGCTTCTTGCTCGAATATCCTCAGTGATGCTCATAACTCTGGATGATAGTGCACGCCCTCCGTGAAGTCACAATTTATGGCCACACTAGTGAGGTAGTTCACCCCGTTCCTCCTTTTGCTAGTTTGTGTTACTTTGCGCGTATCTGCTGTTATGCGCGCACACGTACCGCCAACAGCGAAACTGCGCTTTTTCGTGATATTGTGCACATTAAACTAGCACTTCGCTCTCGCGGAAAACAGTGGCACTGCTGTCGGACTTTTAAAGTGCCTACTAAAACGACTGAAGAAAGACTCGCGCACCACTCTGCTTTACCATTGCCATGGCGTGTTGTTGGTTGCTTAAAAGTTCTCGGTTCATTGCTCTACTGGGCAGTGTCACTACTTGATTTCATTCTTTGTGTCTTGAAGGAGTATGGTACACTATGACAAACGATTGTGTAGTATCCTTGACTCTTCATGTGAAACTAACCACCGCAGACCACTCTTACCATAAGCACACGTGGCTAACTGCCATTACTTGTTTCCTCGAACAGTCTGAGTTTGTTTTTGCCCATAAGGCAATCACCAATTTCGACGTATTCCCATTATCCTGGGTTTTTCATTGATCGCCCTCAGTCAAATGGATACTGGCTCTTGTTCATGCTACAGACAGCCTAATTGTCGTCGAGAGATGCAGTGGTGAAGCTAACGAATAATTCATCACCGACGTTCAGTGCGCGAACGTCGACTACTGTTAACCACCCGCTCTGGTCGCGTTGCGTTGCAATACGCGTAACGGGTTTATCACCTCAGGAGGTTGACGGCACAATTCTGCGAGCGTGTCACTATCTGCACATCCAGTTAACTATTAGTTTTGTATCTTCTTTTACGTGTGCACGCCGTTAACTATTTTCCGCTCTATTATCACGACCGATCTTTCGGTGCTCTCCCCGGCTTCCGGTACGACGCGCGGACCGTGTTATATATCACACTGCTTTACTTCTTTTCCCAGACCCATCTGGTGGCTCTTTGTGAGCGCGAATTGGCTTTAAGTCAACTGCAACTCGCTCGGGGCGCCAGGAAGCATCGATTTCCCAGCATCGCGCAGCAACATTTGGATCGGTGAGTCAGCACCACTTTTGCTGTTCAGAAGTGAATCTTATCCACAAGAAACCTGTTCCAATTTCACTTTGCACTTTCCACAATCCTTCCACATTCGTACAATTATGTGTTATTTTTACTGGGCTTCTAACAATTCGCTGTTTACGCGTATGTGTATGTGTTGGTTTGCCCTACGGCGGCTTTCCCCTACCTCCTTAAAACTTCGCAAACTGACGACTATACGGTACTTGATGCGGGACCATAGTCACAACTATGGAATTTGTGCATACCGTGAATTTTCTCTGTATCGAGTAGTTTTCCGAAAATTCAACCAAAGTCTGGGTGCACCGATTAAAATTTGCTGCTACTCGTAAAACATAGTGTTATCTATCCGCTGTACAGAAATCTGAGACATCTTTTAATTGTGTGACAATTTCTCACTGTTCATTTCTCTTTGTCCCGTTTTTATACGGTCTGTCTACGTTCATTTGCTCGCACGCACTATTCACCCACCCCAATCTTGTATTGTCTATGGCCACCTTGAACTTGGCTAATGTTTTTCTACGCTAATTCCTCACTGACTTGATCAATTATAATCAATTCATGTGGGAGGCGTCTGATTCGCTTCTTACTCACTACTTGTACATCGCCTCCGTTTGCGCATCGGATCGGACGCCACTGCACTGCGCGTACTCAGTCTGAATTAGTTGGCGTGCACACACACACACACACACCTTGCAGTCGCTGTTGGTTGAAACAGTGCGCTTCGCCTTTGTCCATGACCACGTGGCCATTCGTTTGCCGTAGTCTGATTTAACTCCGCTTTGTCTCCGGCCCGTGCGATGGTGGTCAGTTGGCGTCAGTGGCGATTGTTGTTTTCCTCTCCACATCCGTTATATTGGTCACGCTAACCCGAAAGGGATCGCAATGACACGAGCAAAGGACATTCCGCTGAGTCACGAGCGAGTAGCTTACAGCGCCCTCTTTCCAAATGAATTTCCTGGAGAGTAATCTGACACTAATTCTCCAGGGTGTGTTCACTCCCAGAGCAAGTGACCATGTTGAGAGAAAAATAAAATATCGGAAAGATACTCAAGTGGAACCGGAGTAGAACGCAAGGCCTCCTCAGTTTTTACTGATGACTGATAAGTAGGTGGATGTTAAACGAAATTTTACTGGTTCGTCCCAGTGGCTCATAAGCACGCTAACCTAACTACCAATCCGGAAAGCACCGGGCGGTCGTTTCGCCCTATTGGGACTCATCTGTCTTCAGCATCCCTTCAGTCCCCTGCAAGGAACTGAACTCGTGACTGCTGTCAGCTTGCACCAACTAGCCAGCAGCTTACGCTAATGAGCCAAGCGAGAAGGTAGCAGATCGTCACAACTGCGATATAGCGCGACCTGTCCTCCGTTGCCACGTAGGTTACCAGCCTTGCAGAGAACAGTGGTTAGCCTCCGGAAGTCACGACTTCTACAGCACTGTATCTCTGTACGACAGCTTTTGAAGACTATGAGGGGGAATGTTTTGATTAGGGTTTGTTTGTGAATCTGCTGCACTTTAAGGCCATCTTAGATATACTCGATGATCTCAGTGGGTTATCACGGTGCACAGCGTCCCTGTTTCTTTACCGCACTCTTGACACTTACCGCCCCTCTACTCATCTGCTTATCTTCTGGTCCTTTGGCTTCCGCCCCAAACTTGTTTAACTAGTTCATTTGTGGACATCTTAGAGACGCGATTCTCCATGTGTCGTCTTCGTCGCAAACATGTTTATTTCTTTTGCTTTCTCGGGTATTTCGATAGCACCATCCGTGATTTTTTCCATCATACCATTGAATTTACTTTTGTCACTGTTGGGCTTTGTGATGACAATTAAGTTGTCACCAATTGTACCCAGCTAGATGATGACTCAACTCTCTTCATACAAATTTGGTGGCAACCTCGTGCCTGTAATTGTGCCAAGAGACTGCGCAGTGCTTGCGAGCCCTAAAAGTACGGCTTGAACCGCCAGTCAGCAGCTTATGCCACTGGGCCACGGGGGACAGCTTTGGACCGTCATGATTTGCAAGCTAACTGCGATATACCGCACTTAATCCTCTACTGCCATGCAAGTCACGAACGTTGCAGAGGACAGGGTTGGCCCCGAAAGCCACGATGTCCACTAACAGTAGCTATGTACGACATAGCAACGTTCGTAACTTGTATGCTATTGGAGGACAGGGCGCGCTATATCACAGTTAGCTTGTAAATTATGACGGTCCGAGGCTGTCCCCCCTGGCCCCTGGTGGTACAAAATGCTGGTGTTCATGGGTTCGAATCCTGATGAATGCGCACTACTGATGTTGCCCAACAAGCTGAAACTGCAGCCTAGTGCTTTCCCGGACATGTGGAAGACTATCTGATTTGGAAGCTGGCTGTGATGAGCATTATTTATCTAAATAAATGTATGTTTTATTTTCGGCAATGCTGGGCACACCTGCGGAAGCATGATCATGTTAATACAACCAGGTATGGTCGGTAGTTGTATAAAAATACAGCAAATTAACCAGTAACATACTGAATTTGTGTATTTGTACATATGTAAGTGTATGTGTTAGTGGGCATCGTGAGTGAACTTGTGAAGTGCGACTAATATTGTTTGCTGTGTTCGCCATCGTATGAAGAGATCAAAGGAACTCTTCGAAATGGATGACGATCGTGAAGTAGAGACCCTTTTCGGAAGTGGCTTCATTTAGTGGCGAGTCACATCCGCCACTTCGCAGTGTTGTTATAAGGACCTTTGTGGCTTTTTATATGGAGAACCTACGTCCGCAAATGTGCAAATTTTAGCACGGATTCCCACTTTATCTCGCAATTAATGTTTCCTAAAACTTATAATTTCTGTTAGAGAGCCGCCGTCAGTTGCGGATATCTCATTGTCTGTATCCGGTGCTCCAGGGAATGGCAACGGACGAGATCAGGCCGCACTCATGATCGGATGTGGTCGCGTACAAATACCCACTATTGACTAACCTACTCTAGTAGCTTGGTTACAGTAGTCTGCTTTGATTACCAACTGCTGTTTGATTTCCTTTGGTCGGCGCTTTATCATCCTGTCACCGAACGGATGAGGTGTATGCATTGTGACCTAAAGATCACAAGTTCTGTTCTGTGCAAAAAGTGCGGGCGGCCTCGTACTAACCCTTTCCGGTGCGTAACTAACGGTGGCCGCGGCGTAGCAAGCTGCGGTGCGGCGCACCAGCGTACTGCTTTTCCTAGGTAGCGCTGTAGTGCGGCGTAAAAGATTTTGAACGACTTACCTGATATTCCAAGAATTTGAAACCAGATACGGACCCCGTGTTCGAAAACTTGCAAGTGAATTCGTTCGATTGGGGTGCCTTGAAGCGATTTGGGAGAATTATCGCGTTTTCAACATGAGATGCCTAAAAAGTAACCTGACCCCCAAACGTCTCATAGTGAAACCTCCGGACAGTAGGTACACCTCTGCAAGGATTGCATTTAATGCTTCCAAGCCCTTTCTGAGACATCGGGTTACCCTAGTAACCAAGCGTTTAAGCGAGAACTGCATCGACGCGAGTCGGCTGAGCCTGAATCTCCAGACCACCATAACGCCTCTCGACTACAACCGAATTTTCAATACGGCTTCAGACGTCAAATTGGAACAGGAGCAGGATCCAAAGAAAAGACAACTGCGTAAGTTCACGCTTTTAATGTCTGTGCATCCAAATGCTACCGATCCTACTTATAGGTCCGGGTCTATTTGTAGGTATTGTAATGTTAATATATCAGATAGGGTTTTGTATGAAACGGAATGTAGGTTGTTGGAGAAAGGTTTGATATTTACCATCAATAAATCTAAGCTATTTGCGGGAGAGCGCGGTGACAAAGTTGCCCACTGCGAAAGCAGAGAATATTCGGGCACAGTTAGTAAATGTCAATAAGTTTCAGCAACCGGGTGAGCCAAATCTGCCGCAAACTGTACGCATCGCATTAAATTCCTTGAAGGAAGTTCGCAGCATTGTACTTACAAAGTCTGACAAGGGGAAAACCCTGGTTGTAATAAATAGGTCAGAATATTTGGAAAAATTGGACAACATTTGGAGACGAGTCCATGTCGAGTAGTTGTTGATAAGACCGTGAAGTCAGTAATGAACAAGAGTAAAACGGAGATTGATAACTATTTAAGAACCGTGAAGGACGATTTATGGTCAGGCAAATGGTACAGTCTATAACTAAAATCGGCTTTACCTCTGAGGGTTTATGGCTTGCCGAAAGTTCACAGACCCGAAGTTCACTTACAGCCCATAGTCGACGATATAGCCTCCCCGACCCATGAACTCGCTAGATATTTGGCAAAGCTATTGCAGCCTCTAATAGGGCGAACGGGTACATCCGTGAAAAACTTACGGGTTCGCTCAAAAGATAGGAAGTCTCAAAATCGAGCCAGATGAGTTGATGCTAAGCTTCGATGTCAGCTCACTTTTCATCCATGTACCCAAAGAAGAGGCGCTAGGAATAGCAAGACGTTGTCTAAATGAAGACGTCACTCTGTGTGATCGGACGAAACTTACGGTTAACCAGATAATCGAGGGTATGACAGTGTGTCTTAACATGTCTGATTTCGTTTTTCAGTCGAAGCTGTACAGTCAGGAACAAGGTCTCGCCATGGGATCGCCAATATCCCCTGTACTGGTGAACTTGGAAGATTTTGAGAACAGGGCGTTAACAAACACTATTAACTCAGCAAAAGTTTGGTGGCGCTATGTAGACGACACCATTGTACTTGTTAAACGGGATAAAAAAGCCGAGTTTCTTGATCACTTAAACACCATTGATGCGATGATACAGTTTACTATTGAGTTGGAATCTTGTAGCGGCGCAATACCATTTCTTGACTGCGTGGTTCACAGGAATGGGAAAATTTAAAGACAAAAATACATCGTAAGCCAACGTTTACTGACAGCGTACTCCACTACACATCGGGTCATCCGAAACAGGTTTATGCTGGGATAGCCTCAGCGCTGTTCTACAGGGCACAAACCTTGTGCACGATGGAGGAGAACAAAAAGGCTGCGCGGAAAGTGGCAATGAGCAAACTGTTAGAAAGTGGTTACCCACGGTGGCTAGTCAAACGCCATTTGCACGAAGGGCTAAACAGACAGTCATGACCCACAACCGTGTGGATAAGAACGGTGGGAATTCCGTACGAGGAAGGCACTTCGGAGCGTACTAAACAAGGAAAATATAAAGGTGATCTTTCAGCGAGGTCGAACGCTACGTTCGGCGCTGGTACCTCTGTAGGACCCCTTCCGAAGGATAGGACGACTAACTGTGTTTATAAAATTAAATGTAAAGACTGTGCACATGTGTACATAGGCCAAACAGCGAGAGAATTACGCACACGAATTTCAGAGCACAGGAGGCGCATTTCAAGACCACAAAAAACGAGTTTGTATATCAGGCAACAGTAAGGGACTCGGTCGTGGCTGTGCATGCATTAGACACGGGTCACCAGATAGAGTTGGAAAAGGTAGATGTCATTAGGAGGCGTATACGATCAACGCCTCAGCGGTTGATTGCCGAGGCGATGGAAATTTCCGAATCTGACAACTGCGTGAATAGAATGGAGTCGGTAGAACTCTCCAGTGCGTGGCGAGCAAGCTTAAGCCGGCCAGCCCGACAAGCATCGGTGCGTGGATCAGATTGGAAAGTGCAAACCGGCTCACATTGTCAACACTATGTGCTTATCCGTCAATGCCATGACGCACAAAGGAACACCTGGCCTATTCTCACTGTGATTGAACCATCTGAGGTGACATCACAAGCTGTGACTGTAATGACACCTTGCCACAATACTCGGGTAACGCGGTTATCGCCCATGTTCGCTATAAAATCCCACTCCAAATTGCACACAGATTCATCTGGTCTGACGAAGCTCTTGTGTCAAGAGCGAAACGTTGCCAAACTACTATACCAACCGATTGTTTCCAAACCTCTCTGAACTAATGACTACTCGATCAGTCCCAAGTATCTTCCAAGAATTTGAGACTTAACGGTCTTATTTTCATGTCCACCATATCGAAGTTCCTCTACAATGTACCTGCAGACACGTACAAATCTGCGCATCTGCAGTGAGACCCAAGGGAGCTCCATTGTCCTTTGGCAGTATCTGGTCATATGCCCGCTATACTCTGTCACACACGGTCTCTGAATGGGCGCGAGTGCTTGGCGGACGATGGTCAAATATCCTAGGCCTCATTCAGCTTGGTTCATTTGGTCATTCTAACACCGATTTTGTCTTCCTAATCCTCGTCACCATGACAATGGAACGTAAAAATTGTGGGAGAACTGACTAGAAATGTTCAAAAAGAAGAACGGAGCGACTCAGAATCGATTACCCATTTAAAGAAAGATTATAACGCGCCTCTCGGAGTTGTCTTTGTCCCTTTGCATTCACCTTTCTTCGAATTTCCCATTCCAGTTACAACCGTATGAATCTCCCGCCGTTATTTGAAAAAACAAAGCAAGAGGTCAAGTTGAAGATGTTCGAACTTCGGAAAGACGAATTACTTGAAGTGAGTACTCCCAAATCAGAACCAATGCTTGTCTCGTAGCGTTCTGCATGCGGTCCGATAGTACCATTGTTTCGTTCTTATCTCAATGCCTCCTTTTTTCATCAGGGTTTGGAGTTAATGGAAAAGACGAATATTCAACAATATGAAAAGAAAGATCGTGCCAAGTTCTTCTGTTATAAAGCGGTTTTCTTTTCGCATTTCAACAAGTCAGTTTCCATCTTTTGTGGACTTTGTATTATCGTACGTCAATTTGTTACACGTTATGTTACTTCCTGTGAGCTGTGATCCGTACAACTACTACAATACAGCTGAGTACAGCGCAGTTCATTAACTATGACCCATCTGGGCACCAAATGCAGCGAATCTAGTTGTCACGACCTCCGCTTCCGCTACGATGAGAAAGTAGCAGAGATTTTGTAACGAGTGTAGAAGTGAAACAAAACAAAGATATTTTCCGAACGTCGTGATTGGCCTTAATGATGGCATGTTCACAGCCATCTCCCGACCGGATCACTAATGCCCCTATCTATGGGCTTAGGTTGATTGTAACTTATGGCATGGAGATTTCCTCGCTGATATCGCTTTATTCTAGCACGATACTCAGCTATTTGCGACCATATTAGCGTTGTGTGTGCGCCACGCATTTGAATATTTACTCAAGATTTTTAGGCCTTGCAATTATTTTATTATTTTTTATTGACTTACAGATTTATGGTAATAACGCATCATCACTAGATACTGATGTATTGCTGCTGCTGTTTTGTGCGAGATGGTTTGTGAGCTTCCGTGAGTTCGGTGAGCTGCTCTGTGGCAATTCTTAAATCCCTACATAGCCACATATCACACAGAACTTAATGGTTGAAGGCCGGACACACTCATTTAAAGCATTTTTCTCATCGGATGCTAGGAATGAATCGATAGGTCTATTCACAATACTCCAGCACGACAGAAAACAGGTTGCGGGAGTGGTGCAAGCAACTTCATCTTGGTCCTCTTCGGTTACGGAGATTAAAGCACGATTTCACACTGCTGTGCAACCTGATTCATCGACATTTATTACAAATATATGGTCCAATTTCTGTGGAATAGGCCCACAGTCAGGTTGCCTTAGAGCGCTACCGAATTTCGTAATACGCTCGGAGGCTGCCTCGACCTCAACAGAATCATGACATTCTCATTGGGAAGATCGCCTGATAAGTTATTTCAAGAGGGCCCAGATAACATGCAGTGAGTGAAACGGATTGCATTCATGCAATGTAAAAAAAATTCTTATTGTTCGCAGTATTCTCAGAGCACACTAATGCTCTCCACTTTATAGTCGACCGGTAGCCGAAAGGATTGCACGCCTGGCTTGCAACGCCTAGATCATCGGTTCGAGTCCGCATAGGAGCGCGTGTCCTCGCGGTATACTCAGCCCACACGTGACCGGTGGTGGTCGCGTGACAGAGATGCCTCTGTACTGTGTGCCGGCGTGCTGCTGATGACATTTGCCGGCCCGTAGCCTAAAGACGATAAGCTTGTCTCGTAATCTGACGGCGCGACTTCGAGCCTGCGTAGGGGCAGTGCGACCCTCGCAGTATCCTTAGCCCACGTGCAACCAGTGATGGTTGCGCAGCAGCGAAGTGTTGGTACTACGTATCGTCGCACTGCTGATGCCTTTTACTTTACAGTAAAACACAAATCTGTCTGTCGTTTACATCGGCAGGAACACACAGACAATTATCTATACAAGAGCATAACATCATCTGTACAAATATGATTTGTGCCAAGTATGTAAGCCGCTTTTCACTCGATGAGAGATATCATCATCATCATCAACAGCAGTACATCAGCCATTTGAACTGATGCTTCGCTGCCATACAACCATGAGGACCTATGAAATAAAGAATAAGAAGAGGGAGAGAAGGGGGACTTACCTGAAAACCTTAATGCCCTAAGCAAACATTCAGGGTCAAGGCGCCTACAACTTGTGTAGACAACATACCGTCAGAAACAGCTGGCTATCGTGCAAAGATAAGGCGGCATCGGCGAGACAGCTTCCTTGCGGCTTTCACTGCCACGCGTCATAATCAGCCATTACCCCGCAGATAACTCAGCACCAAACACACTTTAAACAGACAATCCGATTAGGAGACGGCAGCAGACGCGCCACTGGTGTCGGTTGCTAGCCCTGTCCTGTAAAGTCTCGAGCCAAGCACAAGGTGAGTCACGTGGACTCCAACCCGGAAGGCGAGACGGACCAACGGCACCCAGTTTGGTCGTCAGTGACTTCATTTCCCGCTGCCAAGTCAACTTCTGTCCACCTCGAGCCTTGCGCCATCCTACACCTGGTAGACTGAACAAGGCCCTCTTGGGTAAGCGGTGACCAGGCATGCGTAGCACGTGCCCGAGCCAACGCAACTTGTTCAGTGCTATCTGTTGTTCTAGGGAGCTAGCATGATCATCACCACCTAGTACTCGCCTACGCACATCATCGTTGCGGACACCCTGGTGCCATCCGACACCAGCAATGCTTCGCAAACAACGATGATCAAAGACTTGAAGGCGCCTCAGATCTTCAGACCGAAGGGGCCAAGTCTCACTCCCATAGAGTAGAACGGCCCTCACTGTGGCCTTGTATACACGGCCTTTCAGACGGAGGGAAACTCCTTTCTGTCGCCAAAGATGATGCAGGTTCAAGAAGGCAGCTCTGGCCTTTGCAATGCGTGAGCTGACGTCAGTTTCTATGCGCCCATCATTGCTTATGCAGCTGCCAAGATAAGTGAAATGATCAACCACCTCGAGTTCCTCGTTAGGAAGCGTCAAGAGGTCATCGAGTGGCTGGTGGTCCTGCAGCAACACTTTGCACTTTGAAGGTGCGAAGTGCATACCAAATAATGGGACCACTCTGGATAGGCTATTCAGGGTTGATTGTGCCGCCTCAACATTGTCGAAAAGCAAGACGATATCGTCCGCATAATCTAGATCAACTAACCGTTCACCAGGCAGCATTTCAACACCTACATCGTGAGATTCCGCAAGGGAACACTCCATGATAGAATCCACGACGAAATTGAACAAAAACGGGGAAATCGGGCAACCCTGTCGAACGGCACTTGTAGTCGAAAAGCTATCCGATAGGGCACCATAGACCCTGACGCGGCCTCTAGTGTTCGAGTATAGAGCACGAAGGATGTTCACATATTTCGTGGGAACACCTTTCCGCGCAAGTATTTCGAACAGAATCGATCGATCGACTGAATCGAACGCACTCTTGAAATCGAGGAACACAGCTATTGTCGGTCTGCGGTATGCGTGGCGCTGCTCTAGCACCTGCCGCAAAGTAAATATATGGTCTATACAGCCACGTCCTGGGCGAAAACCGGCCTGCTCTTCCCTAATCCGAGATTCCCGTTCTGCAGTGAGGCGACGAGCGATAATCGAGGCCAGTAACTTTGTCACAACTGCAGTTAGGCTAATACCCCTGTAGTTAGAACAGTCTGTGCGACTGCCCTTTTTGTATATTGCCACTATAATCGATTCGCTCCAATTAGCCGGCACACTCTCTTCGTTCCAGATACGTTCGAATAGGGAGGTCAGTGCTTTGCAGAGGACCTCACCTCCATCCTTAAATAGTGCAGGTGGGAGGGAATCCGGGCCAGCGGCACGAAAACGATTGAGGGCTGTGATCGCGTTTCGGACCTCGGCCTCCGACGGAGGCTCTAAACTAACCGTCCATGGCTCGTCCTGCATCACCTGAGTAGGCAGAGGTCCGGGAGCAGGGGGGCCAGCTGAACTGATGTTCAAAGTGCTCAGCCCAACGAGCCATACGGCGCTCCTTATTGTGTATCAGCGCACCCGCGCTGTCCCTGATTGTCTCACTGACGCCTGGTTTTCTCGGACCAGTGGTGCGTATTAGCTGAAAGAGCTTCCGGTAATTGCCTACTGCTCCTGCCTCCTCCATTTCTTGAGCCCGACTGGTCCACCAGGCTTCCTTGTCAGCACGTAGGCTCCGCTTTAGTTCACGCCTAATAGACCGTCTGGTCACATTGTGTTCAGAACCAGCCGGGAGGTGCCTTCTAGCTTCCAAAAGGTTCACGGACCTCTCGGATATCCAGTGACTGGTGCGATGACGACTGATAGTGCCACAAACAGATGCTCCTGCGTCATGCATAGTGGCCGAGATCCTATTCCACTGAAGTTCAGTGTCATTAGGACAAGACTGCGGAAGTTCAGTATGCAGTGCACCTTGATAGGCTTGCCTGACAGAGGGCTGGGACAATTTCTCCGTTGCCAATCGAGGGAGACGCTTTGTGCGCCTTCCGGCAAAGTTCATGGAGAAACGACAGCGCACCAAGGCATGGTCAGAGTCGACACAGGTACTCCAGTACGAGCGGCAATCCAGAATGGAACCGCGCCACCTGTAACTTATGGCTATGTGGTCAATTTGGGTCCATCGCTGGCCAGCTACAGGTGGACGCCAAGTGGCACATCGGCGCCCACTGTGTCTAAAAGCATTGCTACTAAGAAACAACTGGCGCTCCGCACACAGTTGCAGCAGACGCTCGCCGTTGTCAGTCCGTTCGGCGTTAAGTCCACACTTACCACCCAGCTGAGCTTCTGAAGAGCTCAGACGCCCTACTTGTGCGTTCATATCCCCTGCAAGTACTATAATATCTGAACTAGTAGCACTGCGTAGCAGCGTGTTCAGTTCGTGATAGAAAGTGTCCTTGACTGCATTAGAACTGCAGTCGGTGGGAGCATAAGCAGAAATCACAAACAAACAGCGTTTTGTTTTACTTCGCGAATTCACCTTAGCTGATGTCGTCAAACGGGCTGCACATAAACGGCTGTTCACCGGAATCCAATCAACCAACGATGACTCAGCCTTGGAGCTGAGAATGATACCTACACCAGCTTGACCCGTGAGTGCCGCATCGGCGTCTCCGGATGCGTGCAACCAATAACGAGAGGATAAGCCGGGTGCAGTCAATTCAATAACCCCGTTAGGGTCATTAATCCTAGTTTCGGACACACAATACACATCAACACCCAGTGTGTCCAAGGTGCGTGCGAGTGCAGCCTGCTGACCTGTTTGTCTTAGAGTGCGGACGTTGAATGTCGCCATGGAAACGGGACAGCGTGGCCTTATAAGGAACTTTTGCCGATAGGCGTCCGATAGGTGCTGTGAAATGGTGGCTGCAGACGGTACTACTCCAGTAGCACTTCGGTTGCTGTCAATTAAGCTGGGAATTATAGAAGAAAGGTTAGTACTGGGGGTCCGGATGGGAATAAGTGAAACAGGTGGAAAAGAAAGAAGGGAGGCGCCAGCAGTAGCATGCTTTCGCTTATCCACCCTGCTGTATGCAGCAGATAAGGCGACCCTTGATAATCTGCGCGACGGCCGAGGCAGGATGAAGTTAATGTTTGAAGAAAATGTCATGGTTGTATGTGGGCTGGGATACTGCCAGGGCGCCCAAACCTAGACAGGAGAACGATTAGGGTCCTCATCCAAAGCCTTTGGCTCAAAAGCCTGTCCGCAAGGCAGCGGGGTGGCAGTGATTTAGTTTTACAGAAATGGACGCCATCCCGTTTCAAACCCCCAACCTGGAGGACCAGGAGACTGAGTTTGTCTGACCTCTCACCATTGACCAACCTGGTAGGAGTAGCTCTCAAGATGCTCGGAGGCATCACCCAGTATAGCTCAACGGGTCAATGAGGTACGCAAACCGTCGCACCACGTTATGGTCCAGTCTCGTTGCGACGGCGATGAGAGATATGCCAATTATTGTTATTATTGGAGACTCAACTCGATATATTTGAAGCACTACTAAAGGTGGAAAAAATGGAGGATTGCTATCGGAAGCGCACTGCCACTTTGTTTAAGTGCTATATAATATAATAAATTGTCAGCTATTCACCGTAACGGCACTTCGCTGCCGCGCGACCACCAGTCGCTAAGTGCACCGCGAGGACGTCCGCCCCTACTCGGATTCGAACCGGTGACCTTATGATGACTGCAAGCCATGCGCACAGACCACTCGGCCACTGGCCGACTTAGGCACTGTATGGCTGCACTCGCAACCTCCCCACAGATTGGTCTACTACCGAGGCATCCAAGCCCGAACAGAGGCCGGGACTTGAACTTGGTATGCAGAGACTGCACATCAGATGCATGAGCCACTATGCCGGAGAACACCATTCTCGCTCACTTGTTTGCTACCGGCAGCCTTTGAGTCAACTAGCCTCTGGTTACATGTATCCAACCCGCCAAAACTCACCTGTGGTCCGTCGTGGTCATAGGTGTATCACCTCCTTTACCTACCGTGCCTGTGCATAAGCAGATTCAGCTGCGTCACTGCTTCACTCCTTAGAGCTGAAACTGATCACCGTTGCGCAATTCGTCTGGCCATTGAGCGAAAGTCCAGAGCTTTTCAACTTCGAACGAAAGTTCCTTTTTTGAGAGGTGTTGCGATTGTTATTCCTCTTTTCTCTCTTTTCCTCAAGAGTCAGCTGCATTCTACCGCACCATAAGTCCCATTTCACACCGGTTCCTTCCACCTCCGCACCATATTTGGTATCAATCTGCGGGTAGCACTGGGTCTTTTTTCTTTCTCGAAATCGCTGTGTATTGTGTCTCTGGAACACGCATACAAGATAGCAATACTCTGATGGGTCTTCGACTTCCGGACTGTAACTGCTGACATGTTCATATACTTCGCGCGTTCGGCAGAGTTGACGAACTGCGATTCACACAACTGCTGCTGTTTCAGTATCGAGAAACGTTGTGGTTATCTTTATGTAGGTATGCTGCCAGCCTTCCACGGATGTTGATAAGCGCCGTCAGAAAAGTGCGTTAATCCACCTACAATGTGTATATTCGGCTCTGCTCGGACGGAACAAGGCGATTGGCACGGACGATCTTCCGTCGTTGCCAACAGACGGTGGAAACTCCATGGGTCGTTAGTCCGGACGCTCGAATTAGAGACTTGCCCTCAGGGCTTATCAGCGTTATCATGTTCTTGTAAAGAGAGCCCTAAGACACTATTCGAGGATCATCTAAGCATTGTTGCCACAGACCAGCTTACAGACATCACACTTCTGCATCTAATTGCTACACGTGGAGACTCGACTCAGAGAAATTAAGCTGGCTTCCACTCTAAGTCGAGGATGCGCCAACGAAATTTTTGGTTTTCATCAAGCGCTGGGACAGCAACAAATACACAAACAACCCACCATTGTACTCTTTTCTGCTTCGAAGACCGCTGTCTGTTTAGTTGATTGTATCAAGCCGTGCGGCATTCACACTTGAAAGTCGCATGAAGCATCTAGCCGTTAAATCTTGCCACAACTCTGCGGGCCGATTGAGACTCTAAGGAAAGGCTCCTCTGTGGTTATCCATGGCATTCACAATATGACACTGGCACTTTTTCTTCTCAGTTGTATACTCAACTGCGGCATTACAAACGATTGTCCTCCCTCACTCCTCCGCTGGGTGGTGACCAGCTGGCAAACATGGGTGATATAGTTCGTTTTAGCTTGGACCCAGCCTCCGTGTGAGCTGTACTAAATAAATTCATACAGAGCGCTGCATATTTAGAGATACATTCATTGCATCTTGAAAATCCATGGTACTGTTGCAGACCAGGGCTGATGCAAACCAGTAGCGCTATCACTGCCACTGAACAGGCACCTAAAGTGGTGTCGACCAGTCTGTTGGTCTAGGCGGTTGCATAATCTATTGCGGTCGAAGCACCGTGTGACACCACGATCGAAATGGCTTTTCAGCGCTTCAGTCCCATACGAACACTACAGGTTATCGGTCTTTTAGTCAAAGACAATTTACATCGATGTGGCTTGGCCGGCTACTTCGTGCTGAGGACAACGAAAAGTCGGTTGTCCTTGATCACATGCGCTTGTGGAAGGCCTCGTAGATCTAGTGTGGTCACTGGATGGGCCTTGCGAAAGTTCATTACCTGATATCGCAATGTATGTTTTGCTGAATTTGATCAGCCTATGTCTGTTGAGTCGTGTTTGTCATATGTCTACCGACTATCTGCTTAGAAGTACACCATTAGCATTTACCTCGATGACACAGTGGTGACGCGATAGAAGGGTGTGAAGCAATCCATTGAGACTTGGTCAGGTCATTGGAGTGTTGCCTCGTGATCGTCCACACCACTGCATTGAGTCTTGTGCCTAACTCTCAGCCTTCAGATTGGACCGTCAATTCTCACCTTCCCTCCTGACTCCGTATTCTTTGTACTCCTGTTTGTTCCCACTGGCCTGAAAGTGAAAACCCAATGCACAGTTTAACCACCTGGTCTCCTAGACCATAAGCTTGATGATTCTACAAGTGCTATCCCTCAATGAATGTGCATTGCAATGTGTGCCGAATTACCCAGGAAACGTCGTTGGCACTGCGGCTTGCGCAATAACACTGTGACACTTCCCGCGTTTTGTCCTATTCACTTTTGAATACGACTGCAAGTGGTACGTATAGGCTTTGTAACTGGAATTGAAGCCTCTTACCTTTATCGTGAGTGGTGTTTGTATCACCTTCCAAGAGGGTACCTAAGCGACTCACTTTTTGGTTGGCTCGAGGTCGACAGGACATTGCTCATAGCTGACCCCAGTTGGTTTCTTACTGCCGTCTTCTTGTTGAACCGCACTTTCAAGGTGCAGTATGCCGCGTTATCTGTGAACCGCGATTCATTACGTGTTGTACAGTGTCGTACAATTGTTGGCGTGATAGTCTGTGGATGTTTGCTCAGCGCGTTAAGTTCTACCCCATTTACACTTAATTAGGAGAGAGGGGTACCTGTCGATGTACCGATATTAGCTGTTGTTGTCTATCCTTGCTGTTTACGGTATGTTTCCTATCTGAGCCATGCCTATATCCCATCTGACCTTGACGCTTCATACATTTGTATGGATCTCAAGCCTGTCTACGACATATATATTACTTTGTCTCACTCACTGTACTACGAAGTCACAATCTTCATTTCAACCTGACTGAAATGATCTTTCTCTGCGCTGTGTTTGTTTGCATATGAAACCTGGCAATATCACTGTGAACTTTAGTGCGTTCTAGATCGCGTCCGTCTTACATTAATCACCTAATTTATTATTTATAGGCCGTTCGTTTCCTTTTCTATCTGTGCGCTGCAGTTTATACAACCATGTTATCCACGTGGTTTTCAGTGAAAATCTACCGTATCCTCTGTAATTTCTCTCCCAGAGGTGATGAGGCTACGAAAAACTTCGGTTATGCCACCCAAATGCAAGACAACTTGCACAAAGTGTGGTCCGTTTACGGCGATTTTTTGGAAAACGTGTATTCCAGCTATCCGGCCGCGTGAGTTTCTACTTACCGAATATTCGTCATGTTATGATTAATTATAATATCATTCCTAATGAAAAACTATTTAATCACCTCAATTCCAGTGCAGTGAGTGCTACCACTGCACTGAGGATGCCACCTGGCATAGTGGCGACACCGAACTGCCGAGCTACCGGTATTCATTTCCACCTCGATCAATGCGTATGTCCACACACACACCTGATTTTCATGTTTTGTTCGCATGGATGGACATTATCGGCCGTTGCTAAGCGCACGTGGCTTGATGTAAATGGCCACCATATTCATGAGTGCTCGCGTATATCCTCGTCTACTTGCTGCAGCCAGTCATCCTCACCATGCATACAGTTTTACCGTTGGAATGAGCTGACCGGTCGCGGAGTGATTCAGGCTTGTACTCCACAGGTTACCGGTTCGATCCTGCGTGGGTACGGGCGACTGCGCAGTGTTCCAGTCCCCATGTAATTGCCGTTGGTCGTTGTGTTTGCGAAACGTCGGTACATGGTTCCGGTTTGCTGCTGATGTCGTCAGAATGGGCGCTGTAACTACGCACACCTTTGAATTAATCGCCTTCCCCTCATCTGGTATGTTCTGGAGGATAACTAGTGTTTAGGCCCAAGTTCTGTTGGTCCACTCTCTGAAAGCCCGGGCGGAAGCGATTTCGATTCGTAGCGTCTTGTTCCACACGAGAAATGGTAGTGTTAATGTAGTATCTAGTTGTTTACATCTAATGTCAATGCTGGTTGTCACTACCTTATCGCTTCGTGTTTTTCCATAGGATCTAAGGCTAACTGAGTTCTCTCAGTTTTTTTCAGATCGTTCTCACTCTCTTCCATTCTTGCATGTCCGTTAGACTGGGTCAATCCTTTACCCGCTTTGGAGTGCGTGAGACATGTGTGAGGCACTGTGTTGCAGCTTACTTCGTTCCCTCCTTCGTTCACCTCGCTTGACGACCACATGGGATGCATTTCTCCCACATATTTCCTTTTCTTGCATAGGAAACGCGAAGTTGCTGTATCCACCACCGGGATCTTTGCCATGCAAGCACTGATGGAAGCCGCCAGTATAGCTGGTGGCCTGGAGCGTCGGAGCCGAGCAGATATAGCAAAGTGTTTGTGGCTTCTCACACTGGATGATGCGAAAGGGCAGCAGCGACTGGCCCGTACTTTCGAAGAACGATCTAGCCGAGTGCGATCCGAGGCATTCTTGTCATGGCTACCCAATTTGGTCACCAGTTTACTCCGTCCCGAAGGTCGCTTTATTCTTCCCGCTCTCCGCGGTGTGATCAATACCCATCCCACGGTGTTGTACGGCCTTCTTCGTGGCTTGCAACACCAGTTATCTACTGAGCTGCGCTACGATGAACGACTCGGTCAGTTGAGTCACGGGTCAGAATTTACCAGCCCATTTGCTCAGGCTTTACGTTTTCGAATCAATTCCGTACTCGGGACCATCTCCGCCGAGGGATCCGACAAGGAACATGGCCGAGGCTCTTCTGGGTTAATCGACAGTGTCGGAACGAAACGTATGGGCACGGGTTCAGGTGCATCGACCTGTAAATCCACAGGTGCTGGCGGGATTCCTTCGTCACCGACCTCTCAATCCAGTTTGCCCGCATCAAAGAGAAAAAAGCGAGTAATTGTCGTCATGCGTGGCGTGGAAGGTGAGCGACGGAGTGGCTCTCCGCTTTCCCCTTCTCAAACTAAAGCACTATCCTCGGAGGGTGGTGATACGTCCGGCACATCTCGATCAGCCGCTACCGCGAAAAAGGCAGCTCTTCGCAATATGGGCACCGCCGATCAGGAACGTGAAGCGATGGAATGTGCTGAAGCTATTGAAGCTGAAGACGAAGCTGACGACGCTGAAACAGAGCGTGAGGAGCTGGAATCTGGAGATGGTGTTGAGCTCACAACCAGGGGTGCTGACTCGGATGAGGTTAGCCCGGGTTTTGAAGGACAGAGCTTTACGAAAGAGTCACCCTCACTTTCTGAGGCTGAAAGTCGTGCAGCAGTGTCTGTCGGGACCGGATGTCTGTCTAGCACCGTGGCTGAGAGCCTGCATCGAATAAACTTACTTCTTAATCAGGTAAGCGAGTACACGTTCTGATACTCACATTCCTCAGTTATTGAATTTCGCTTCGTGGTATCTCTTGTCCCTGAGATGGTCTCAATCTCCAGACAGAGTAACAAACATAGTTGTGTAGGTCTCACGCCGTATGCGATTCCCGTCATCCGATAGACTTCAGGTTCTATCGGGTCAAATTCGGATTGAGGTCGCGTCTCATGTGGTTCTGGTTTTTGCTTACACATGCAAATGTACACAGTTTTGGGCTATTATAACCTCATCTTCTGATGCAGTCAGAACCAACAAACAATCCGCACCACTGGTTTATACTAGTGTCCATTTCACAGGTGTTGATGTCGGTGATGTATGTGCTTCGGCCATGCTGTCATTAGGTTGTTCTGATAGGTATTTTCCTTGCTATCATGAATTTATCACCAACTCTATCCAGGTTGCCTCGAGAGAACCACTTCATATCACCAAATTAAATCACCCTTAATTCGATTGTGCTGGGATAAACGGCGCATTCCAAGTAGACTTTATGTTGCCAGTGAAATGGAAAATTCACGGCAGGTCCAAGATACGTGGACACATAGGGCATCTTATGCCTCTTCAATGATCCGCCTAACTATTGCACATTATCCCCACAATGTAGAGAAACGTCACTTGCTTGCACGCTTCTTATACACGCATGTACTTCGTATGCTATGTCTCACAGATCCGATCGTTCACAATGGAGACAGTGACTCCTCGCGTTAGCCATTCATCGCGTGTGTTCTCTCTTGTTTGCTTCCACACTTTATCGTTATCGTTCAAATGAGCTCCACATATTGTAATGTTTCTCTAAAACTCTGCTTTTTAATCTGATGACCATCATTATATTTATCCCTATCGGACACTCTTTTCGAACAGCATGTAAGGCTTCCGGACTGCAATTTTAATGCGAATCCTGCAATGAATGGGCGTTGCAATGTTAGACGAAATTACTGATGAGAGTATCACTGGAAAAGGACCACAGTCGATTGACTGGATAGTTATTTTGAAGTGCTCGTCGTGTGAATGGATTGCGATGCGCAATCTCAATGTAGACCGCGATTCACATTAAAGTGGACCTTGGTCAATGCGATCACTGGGACCGTAGCCGAATCAGATGGATAGAGAATGGTGCTCGCCCAAAAACACTGCACGCCAAGACGCGTTTTGACCTCATTTGATTTCATCAGGTGGACATAGCAGACGCCGAATCTGGGACCATTGGGATGTTAGTCGTGACCGCTGCGCCTAAACCACCGGATCACGACGGGCAACGGTTGACACAACGGTTAATGACTGGAGTCATTTCGAAGTACACGTTATGTGAACAGATTGCGACGCTCAAACCATATGTGGCCACGAATCTCATTGGAGTGAATCTTAGTCAATGCTATCACTGGGACCGTAGCCGAAGCAGATGGAAACTGAGTGATGCCCGCTTGAATGCAATGCAATAAGCCAAATGTTGCCCATCGTGACCCGGTAGCCAAAGGGTTCGAGGTTCCGGCTAATATTCCAGGGTTCGAAGCCTGCTATTTCCACTTATGAAATGAAATGACGTCTAAACGCATCATGGTGTGCAGTGTTTTCCGGCGAGCAACACTCAATTTTCAACTACAGCTGCTCTTGTAAAAAAGCGGTTGAGCTTACTTTGTGTCGTGTGATCAAGTCAGCTTCGCTGGACCGCGTCCTACTCTGCCTAGAATATACTTGTCATTCGTATTATCACTATTATTAAAGACAGCTCTGATTTTGCGGACCCTATGGTTTCTTGATGCTACTCCGGTCCGGATCCAATCTCCTTATATAGCCCATTTGAATAGACTGCTCGGCAACTGCGTCCACAATCGGGCATCAGTCATCAAACAGCTTGTCACCAGTGCACATTAGCTTCTCAACATCTTCGCACTCTGGTTTCACTAAACCTAACTCCCTCCTTCAGTGGGAATAGCTACCATCACGTCTATGGCTGATGAATCTTATTTCCGTTGGAATTTCGCTGCCAGATTATTTTTGGTTTATATTGTATTGATTATATTGGTTTTTAATTGTATCGCTTCGGGGCTTTTCGATACCAGTTTGACAGTTGATAAGGAACGTAGCCCTTGGAGAATTTTCGAATTTTAATTACGCAAAATGTTCCCCTATCCGAAATGTCTTAGTTTGCAGTAGTGCCCTAAACAGTACTTCAGCCGCATTATTGAGGGCTCGAGAGGGGTGACACCTATTTGTTGGATGACGAACCAATTCAATTGGTCTACGCATCATAGGATTATGTCTGATCCCGGGAAGTCATTCATTCACTTAACAATATTTTAACCGTGCACCAATGTGGATTGTTGACACGTTGGTTTTGTGCTCAAAGTACTCTCTATTCACACTTCCCGTTGTCACATCTGCTCTCATTCTCATCCACATCCAGCTGCGACGTCGTCATGCTGCACGCATTTATTCCATGGATTTGTTCACAAACGAAGTCAGTGGTCGATTGCAGCCCAGTTGGGCCGAGCATCTCCTTGCTCAGTTATACACAATCTTGGATTATCTGCATCGCTTCGTTTGGGCTGCTACCTGTCCGGGAAACTCGTGGAGGGTCACGGTTTTGGACAAGTTGTGTGTTCCCAACTGGCTGGCCACCGAAATGAAGTATGTGGCAAACGCATGTGGACTTCCAATCACTTCTCCTTTGAAAGATCGACATCATTCCGGTGAGAATGGTCTGAATGAGGATGAAGATGAGATAGAGGTAACGGGCACGTTCAAAGAACTGCGTTTGATGTCTGTTGCTTCACCGAGTGGAGATCCACCGGATTCCATTGATCCAATTGGGTCAGGCACATCATCAGAATCTGAAATGGAAGTGGAGGAAGCGAAAGCTGTCAAAAAGCAACAGACTCACGACGCAGACACAAAAAGAAAACCTCAGTCGTCGGGGAGGCCAGGTGGATCGGGATTGACAATCCAAAAAACTCACCTACGGCGACTTTCCACTTTGCAATCGACTGCAGCCACACCAGCCTTCCAGTGCGCGGAACGTCTCATAACGGCCAAATTAATCAAAGAGTCTCAAGAGGACCCCTTTTTCCCCTGCATAAGGGAACGATTGTCAAATGAATTTGGCAATTTAGAGGGCCAAACGGTCTTGGTAAGTTGTGTTTTGTTGTGCCACTGCAGTCTGTGACGTTTTTACACAATTCCATCCAAGTATACTCACCAAATGTTTGCTATGCTCCTCGCTGTTCAGTATCTTAACTTTCTTCCTCTCCTAGTCCGTCATTCGACGTCTGACACAGTGCTGGATACCGTTGCTGGAAGAGCGCGTGGCTCGGCTCCCTAGTCGAATGCACCTCTCCGACTGTGGAGCAGCACGACTGTTGGAACTTCCCAAAATCGTGATCTCTACTCCATTATCAGTTCCCGCAGCCACTATCAACATCGGTACATCTTCCTATGTTCCCACCTTTTCGTTTGGATCGTTTTGTTTGGAGCTACCTGGGGAATCAGGAATACTACAATCAGGGAATCCATTCCATGGCACCTCTCCAAGTGGACCTCACTCATCATCATTCGGGCAACCTGGATCCACCACTCCATCCGGGTTTTCGGGCAATGGTGCTATACCAAATTTGGCGCTGCAGCTTGTCATCGCCGAGATTCTGCCTAATGTCGTTCGTGTGCGCCATTCACCCGGCCGAATGTCACCACCGTCGCGGCGTATCGGAATCCGAGGTAGCAACGGTCGCGTATTCTACTACGATCTGGCTTGTCCCGGTTGTCCCATCGCTCCAGGCACCTCGGCTATTCACTTGGCTGCAACAGCCGGTGCTCGGACTCAAGACCTGATTTTGGCTCGTGGTCGCGCTTCGATTCTGGGGCACCTAGCGTCTGAAGGATTGTGTTCTTCTGTGTACACAAGTTGGCGCCAAATGGGGCCTCTACACTTGTTCCAAATGGTAAACACCATGTTAGCAAGTCAGCCCGAAACTGCCAAGCGCCAGCTGGTGCTTTCTGTCCCCCGGTATGTCCACAAACGTATCTATTTAGGTTTGATTTGCTCCTCTCCAACATGACTACTTGTCGTAATATCCCCTGGACTTCAGCGTTTTTCCCAAGACAAGACTCAGTTGTCGAAGTCTTAAGAGTTCGCCTTTCGCCTCATATTTAGGTTCTATCATTTGATATTCGTTTGGCTTCAGATAGCGTTTTACCTGATATCATAGCCGTCAAGACTGCAGATCCGTAAAATTCAATATTTCACATTGTTTCATTTCAGACTTATGCTCTTTTGCTCTTGGGGATTTTGGCTATTGTGCTTACAGTTATTCTAGGTCTTTTCAGCCCTTTGAGAACTGACAGTAGCATGGAGCTTAATGGTAACACTAGAACACATCAAACCGCCTTAATTATAGTACAACGGACTTAATGGGCCAATAAATCAATTTCGCCTCAGTACTTCAAATAATTGTCATCTGGTAAATCCTGGCTGAAGGAACACCCGGTACCTTGGAGACTCCTGTTTTGTCCAATTTCCTTTTTGTTGGTCTTGATGTGTCTACTGCATTATCGCGCAGTTCCGGTACCCCGGTTCCAACCTGACTACCTTGTATCTGTTCATACTTAATCACGTAACACGTGTGCAATGTTGTTCCTCTACCTGAAAGTCGGATTCACCAGCTGCCCTGCTGTTCCCTCATACTTCCAGCCAATCTGCTCGACGAGATGTACGAAGGATAGGTATTATTGTCGTTAGTTGGAAGCCATTTGAGTACCAGCATCCACAACTCGTAGTATTTTGCTTTCTGTTCATATCGCATGGACGGAACGTGTCACCTGATCCACCATTGCTGTAGGCCCGTGACGATTCAATAGGGATTGTTTACGCTCCTCCTCTGTTGATGGTATCAGTTTGATGTTCCTTGCTTGCAGGATATTCACACTCCACAGCGGATCACTGATCTTCGTGTAATAGATGAATCATTTAGAAGCTGGTTGGCAGAGAACGCGTTAACCTTCACACCCGTAATTTCGGTTATCACATCGGAATCATCGTCATACTACAAACGGCCTATCCTAGTTCCATTCCCCGACTCGAAGTTTGCGTTTGATTCTGTCTCCCGGTTCTAGTTCTGAAGTGTGTCTGGAAAGTTTCTTTTCTCAAATCAGAATTCAAGTAACGTTAGTGGACCCGATGCTCTCTTACCAGTTCTCTTAAGGGTGCCAACATCCTCACCATGCCCTTGACGGATCTTTTTAATCGGTGCTTACACGGTGGAATTAATCCCGATATTTGGAGGCCTGTCAAGATAACACCCGTGCCAAAGAAGGAGACAACGAAATTCCGTCCGATCGCCTGTACATCCGTCTTGCTGAAAGTCTTCGAGCGACTACTTGTGCCTTGGACCTCAACAAGCACTCCGGCCGTAGATGTATCTCAGTGCATACAGACCCCGAGGTTGGATGCCGTCGCATAACTTGTTCATTCCATAGCATTGGATGCGAAATGCAAGAATGTGCGGCTCCACTTTCTTGATTACCCCAACGCTTTTGCCAGTGTTGGCAGACCAAGCTTGCTTAATCAGCTATCTGCGAATAGTGCTCAACCAGCAGTGTTCAACCCGAGAAGCAACTACTTCGTAAACCGATCTCATCTTGCCCAGCTAAACAGAAAAAGACCCACATTCTTTATGATGACTGGGGCGGCTTACAAGAAGCAATCCTCTCTCCCCTTCTATTCTCTCTATGCATCGAAATGCTTCCAATCCCCCCTTAATTTCATTGGATGTGATTACGCTGACGACGTAGTCTAAGTAGCGTGGCTTAACCGCTCTTCAAATCGGGTTGGACGAGCTACAGGAGTGGTCGTCGTCCCGATCCCTTATTCTGAATGCCACACTGATAAACGTGTGTGGCAAACACTTCTCGCCCCATGGGCGTAAGCGACCCCAACTTACCAAGTTCATCCATCGTTAAGTATCTTGGTGTATGTTTATCTCACAGTCTATTAGTCAACGCACGTTGACGAAACGTTCCGTAAGGTGCGAAATCTATCATTTTATGCTCTGAGACTCAAAATGCTTTACAAATTCGTGACTGCCCGTATTCTACCCCATTGCTTTTATTGCCCACCTATCTTTTTCTGGTTTTCTACAGAAAGATTTCATATTGACTGTGTGTTCCATTAAGCTCATTTCCCAGAGAGTCTCCGGTTTATTTCATCGTTACTAAGCCCTTTATTGCATGTGATGACTTTTTAGCAAATGTTTTAAATGACCTTTTTCAACCCCTTCACGTTGATTCATCTAAAATCCTCTACTAGTCGTCTACCCTTTCTAAATTTAGGGTTTGTTTTCACATACAATACGTTACCTCGATCTTACCGTATTTATCCTGTTTTCTTGTGAACTCCAAGAAAATTGTCAGCGCGACGCACGTACGCCGACTCGAGTTATGTGCATGTATGTTTTTTTCCTTTTTACGCTTTTATTACACTTTCGCGCTAATATTATGCCTCACTACATCTGCATTGCTAGTGTAAAATGCTGAAAATGTTCGCAGTTGGGTTAACAAAGACTATTTTGACTTGACTCTTTTTAATTACCCCTATAAAGGCCTAACGAAAACTCCCCTGGGTTCACAATAGAGTCTTGGCTACTCTATCTCTCCGTTTTCCCTCATCTGTGACCAAAATGATCATGAGTGACTTCTGCCTCATTGCACTTCTCTCTTTGGCTTGAAGATCTGTCTGGTGACCGCCTTTCAAATCTAGAGTATGTGGATGACATAATTCTCCTTGGATGGGACGAAATCCAGCGTTGCACTCTTTGTTAGGTGTGGCTTTTCATAGCTTCTGTGTAACGACGGCATCTACAAGCTTAGTGGTTAAGCGGTATATCGACGCTTCGTTGCCCTCACTACCACCACTAGTCCCACGCGCGCGGGGCATACCGCGTCGTCGCCCGTACCTACGCGGATTCGAACCGGTGACCTCTGAATTACAAGGCAAGCGCGTAATCCGTTCGGTCATCGGCTGACAGATGGGTTACAACGCAGCGATGTGACTTGTCATTCGATGGATGTGAACTTTCAGCTATGTGCTAAGGACATCATGAAACTCACCATCCTCGAACTATAATACCCACTAGGTATTTCTCATACCTGGTGGAAGCATAGACTAAAGAATACGGTAATGTTTGATAACAGATCCTACGACGCGTCACTGGAGTGCCTTTTGAACTCGAACCGTCTCCGCTGACTCGTTCATATGCTCCGCAAACCGGCTGCCTAACGTGAATCACTTGCTTGTCTGGTTCAACCCTCGAGGTGGCTAGCCAAAAACGTGGCAAAATGAACCTTGCGAATAACATGGTCCAGTTGGTATCTCACTTCTCGTTGGATGGGATTCTCGTGGTCAGCCACATATTAGGGGTTAGCTACACTATCAGTTATCGCACGAGTCCGTCCCCTTACTTTTGATATTTAAGTACTTCATCTGATGATTTTAACTCTTTCCCATTTGATCCAGTACTATTGTCACCAGCACTACCATTGTTTGTGATTTGTCAGTGTGGCTGGGACCACCGCGCCTCAATCAAAGTCGCAAACTGAACTAAAACTTTGTTTTCGGTTGGTAAATGCCTCACACCCAAACGGTAAAAGTAACACATTGTCTCTGATATTGCGACTTACGTATCATCCGCGAAACTTTCGCCTATCGCCAATGGTCAAGCGATGGACACAACCAAGATCATGTCATCTTTTTACATTGTTTCTATACGAATCCTGAGTAAGATATTATCGCTTCAAAGCTGTTATCTTGATCATAAGTTGGTCCAGTTTCTTTTCTTGGCGAAAAAATTTTTACTTACCCTGATACTGGTCACCTATGGAATGCTATCCGATCTTTCAACTGTCCACATTTGACTATTGCTTGCAGAGTTATGGAAGTAGGTCCCATGGGTCTGCGTCTCACTGAAGTTGGCTCGTCTGCTCCAGCCGCCGTAGTAGACAATGCAAATGCGAATCCGCTACCATACGCCAACGCACTGAGTGCCAGAGGCCTTACTTCCCTCACACGCCCACCTCCCCTTACCGCTTCCTCGGCCTGCGATGGAAACAACTCGACTCCTTTAGAGCAGACCACATGTCCCACCTGGGCGCTGACAATAAATCACCGCTTCCAACCGCACGAAACGGACACCAGTAGCGAGGTATGTTTTTAGACATGTAGAGTGATAAGGATGATCACCATGCATTCAAATCCCTCACGACCTGTATACCCTCACTTTCAGACGCCACGGAAATCGTACTTGCCACCGCCTCCACCTGGCCCTCTGCCCACATTCCTCAGCACCGCAGGTTCAACACTATCTTCAAACTTAGCAACCGGCGGAACATCAGCCGTTGCCGCTGAAGCAATTGGTCGCCCTTCAGGCCTCGATGCTGGGTGTCATCCAGCCACTGTGAGTCTGTCTGGTGTCCTCGAACAGGCATGTTCCAGCTGGATGAGCGCAGTACCGACAGCTTCTTCGTCTCACTCGTCAACCAACGGGCAGTTCACCACTCCCGGGGCCCCTGCCCAAAATGCATCACAGTATTCTTCACCTTATGTGGCGGGGGCCGGTAACTTGATTTGCATGTTCTACGAGAAATTATCACAATTGAACAGACATCCGAATCAGATCAGAATCGACGCCCAGCATATGTGTAAACTGTTTGAAGAACTCGCCACCAAGATCCCTGGTTCAGTTCGAGCGAAGAGCCCACTTGTCTCCACGTGAGTCGCCAATGTTCTGCTGAATCATGAGAAACTCACTCCCTATTCATGCTTTCGAACGACCTTTTTCAGCAACGTTTTCAATCTGCGGTCTCTCCTGTTTCCTCTTGAACAATGGTTTGAAAAGTGCCACTGAATAAACACTTTTGATGTTCTCACATGTATTTTAGGCTTGGCATCCTTCCTGATTACACTGATTCCGATGGGAAGGGTGAGGAGACGCCGAAAGCCGAATTCTCTCGAGGTTCTCTACTCCGTCGATGGGCTGCCAACCGAATGCTGGACTCAGAGAGTTATTGGCTGTTTCGTCACACCATTGCTTCCTGCCTTGGTTTGATCAATTTGATGGAATACGTCTTTCACCTTGTCCCGCTGCATCCTGGTTGCCTTTTGCTAGATCCGCGATCGGGTCTCGCAGAGGCGAGGCACACTAGATTCGTTCTACCATCGAACTGCTGCAGCTCCGGTGCTGAGCAGCCGACTACTGGCGCGGTGGACAAGGTCCCTATCCATATGCCACATCTAGCTTCCTGCTTTATACAGACGATGGGGCTACGGATTCCGAAAACCTCAGGTGAGCTTTGCTTTTGGTACTGTCGTCAAAAATTCTGGATGCTAATTCGTATTTAGCTACCGTACATGAAGTCGTAGCTCTGACAGTCAACTCTTTCCTTTGCAAGGTTCGTAATTTGCATGGCAGTTGAGAATGAGAATGGTATCGCAATTAGCTATCAGTCATACCGAGTTTCTACTATCAAACTCATATCCTAGTGGCATAAGCCACTTTCATCGAGAGGTAGTGGGTTCGGGTGCGCGACACTGACGAATGTTAGTGGGACGAAACATCATCTACAGATTTTCTGGATGTGTATGAACTAACTGAACGAGAGAGAAATGCGGTAAGCGGTCTCTGGTTTCTATGTATGTCTGCGTCTCTGGCGGTCTGTGTACGTAAAAGCGCCAACAAGTACGAGCACACTGGTTGATGGTATACAAGCTAATTCGTGTGCATGACCACTCCATACCACTTTTTTGATTTCGCTAACAGTGAATTCGTCATCGAGTCGATCCATTGGCTCCGATTCAACTAGCCTGTCAGATCACTCATCGCCTTTATGGCGTATCACCCCATCTCCGGTCCCGTTCCGCCTCACCCCTCACTTGGCCGGCCTGGTCTGCCTTCCTGGGACACCTCCGCACATTGGTCCGTTCGGTGCAAGCTTCACCACCGCTGCACAAGCTCTCGCCAACACTCAGCGTTCTCACTCTTTAGCAAGCCTTTACAGAGCAGTCTTGCGGAACGATTATATCCTATGGCACCGCGGTCGACAGGCCGCTGTACACGCGTTCCAGCTGATGATGGATGAGCAAATATGGACGACACCGGAGGCGAGCAGCGATTCGGACTCGGACGACGCGGAGCTCGGTTGCAAACGGAAGAACAACAAGCTATTCGATGAACTCGGAGTAGCCGCACCACTCCCTGTCTCTATGGAACCGGATTGTGCCGGTGGAACCGAAACTCAGGCCGCTCTTGTACCTGATCTGACGAATGAACAGTTAATTCATCTGATCACATTCACAGTGGATGCCATGAACACAAGCATCAGAAGTAAGTTGTTATTTTCATACACACACATACATACTAACGGTACATCAGGTATAAGGCGCCTGCAAATTGTTCATGCGCCCCGGCAGCACATGTGTACAACAAAAAACTAGGATCACATACCGGGTGTCGGTGGACGGCTTTTCGCAACTCAATTGCATGACACATCTCTATCAACATTGTGCAACCGTATTCTTGCAAGGCAAGGCCTACAGTGACATTAGACCACATGCGCTAGCTTTAATTTGCCGATTCGCATGTTCTTGTCGCCAGAAATCGCTCGTAAAGATGACAGGTTACCACTGATTTTGGTGCCATAAACGTGACTACACCAAATGAAGGGTTAGGGGGTTGAAATGTGCTCATACAGTGTTCCATTGAGTTATCTGCAAACACCCTAGGAGGTCCACACTGATTTGTTGTAGCTTATTGTTGTTCACTGACTCAACATCTGATAAGCGAACCACGTGAATGTGCATACCGCCAGTATAGCGCATGCCAGATGCGACGGGGAATCGAACTCCGGTCCGCTGAGCTACCGAGGGCTCAGTGATAGAGCAGCGGACCGGAAATTCGTTGGACCGGGGTTCGATTCCCCGTCGAGGCACATTATTGTGTGTGAATTTTAATCGCGACTTCTACTTTCTACGAATTTTACACCACTCACTCGATTCAACAAGCGACTGCGGGATTCGAACCCGAGACCTAAGCAAGTAGCACACCTATAGACTACTTTATCGGATATCATTCTGATCCCCCGTTTTGCTTCCCCTAACTTCTGTATCTCTTCGTTTAACACAGATCTGTCGGATTACTCCGGATCAGAACCCAACGCATGGAACCTGATTGCTGCAGCCACCGACCCTTCCAACTTGGCACAAATGAGTCCCGATTGGCTTCCCTGGCTTTGACCGGTCTATGAAGGGGGCCTACCATTCCCTTCGGCGAGCGACTTGCATTGGCTCTGTTTCGCGTTTGTCGTGATAGATCATGCTCTTGCTGGCCTGTCGTTCAGGCAGGGAACGTGACGCAACTAAGCAGACCACCCCTACCTCACTAGTCTCGAGAGGGTCCTGCATTTGTACCTACTTCGTGGTTTTATACATGCCTTTAATACATTTTCATATGACGTTTGGTTTGTATCCCCTCGGGACAACTTAGGCCAATTTGCATCGTTGGTTGTGAGTGTATCATGCGTGACCAGCGAGCAGTGGTTAGAAGCCGCAGTAATAATCGCATGGGTTGGTAAAACGCCATCGCTCACTCGATTTGCGTTCCCTTTTCTAAACGAGGCACAGATGATTGTTCCCTAGTGTTCCTTTCTTGTCGGACTAGTGTAAGCAAATCACTGGTATTAAGCAAAACAACTTTTTTACTCAGTTCCGGCCTAACTGGCGTCCGTTTGACGCAACCGGTGCCCGAAGCTAAAGGTCCACAATCCCAAAAATGAGTTAACGTGAGAGCTCTGGAGCCATGTGCAGCATATCGTGCCTCAATCTCACAAAGGTCAGTTGGCCTTTCAATTATAGATTATGTGCGAACATGAAGGTAGGCTCGCTAGCGTATCTTTTTAAATGCATGTTGCTAAAGAGCGTGCAAGTTATATATGGCAATAGAAAATCAACAGACCCGCAGTTCGTACTAACAGAATGTATTAGTAAGGTCTGGTTGGCAAAAGTGTCCCTTTTATTACAATCATGTACATACATAATTATCACATAGAGGGCGCTATATCGGCGGCAATATTTCACCGAGAAAAATCTTCTTATCACTCCCAACAGATAGTAAAATGGGTTCTTGGGGATGAAATGCCGTCTCGTTCACGGAGGCCGTGTGCCCGGGTAGCTTGTACACCAACTGTCTTGTCGCCGTGTCCCACACATGCACATAGCGATCTCCGCTTCCACATGTGATACGGAGACCGTCTGCAGACCAGGCACATCGCAACAGGTTCTTCTCAAAAGTGTGCTGATGACCGACAAACGTCTGAAGAGATCAACGAGGAGAGATGAGGTGATCTACTCTGGGCCATGATGAGAAAAAGGTGAACACAAGAGGGTTTATCGGGAGAGCTGCACAATGGTCGTTTGACTTACGCAACTACTCGGTCGGTGCTGAACAACCGCGCATATTTGTGGTAACCGGAAATGGGGCATCACAATCCTCACGAATAAACATGATGTTAATCATACAATGAGTTAAGTATGATCTGTCTTTAAAGTGAGCCCGCTTTAAGCACAGGATTTAGGTTTTCACAAGTGGGATCAGAACTGCCTCTAGAGATGACAGTTGCGCCACAACCGCTTCCGGGGCAAAAGCGATTGCAAGGGAACGAACTCGACAATGAAGTAGATTTCGTTGTTCTGAACGGAACACCAGATGGGAGACATCGAGAGGCGCAAAACGTCAGTCATCTAATCGGGTAGGGTGTTAGTCAAAAGTAATTGCTAGATACCACACAGAAAGCGCAGAGCTGAGTTGATGGCCTTGACCCGTAACTGCTTTTTCAGACTAAGTAATCAGACAGATTAGGGATGTGTCTACCAAGTGATTTGCCGTTAAGGCGCAAGCCCCCACTAGTTAGTGGGCGTGGCAACTCGATGGGAGCTAGCCAAGGCTGAAAATTGTAGTTATATCTCATACTTTTGAGCACCTGTGAAACTAGTTTCCACAAATCGCAATACTGGAGCCCGATGCATAGACAGGTCAGTTATTTTAATGATGCCTTTCCTCCAATGTGATAGGAAGATCAAGAATGCAAACAGACTAGTGTGCAGATGCTGGATGACCTCGACTACCGATACTTTCGCAGTGAAATTCACAAACTGGTGAAATCTTAAATGAGCACTCTCCGGAGAACACTGCTGGGAGACGCGTGTAAAGCCGATAAAACGTTGCGCCAAAAGCTCAATGGATATCCGAATTAGAATAGGAAAATCATATGTAGTGTGAAATGACGTCGCCATTTCGCAAACTTTTATCAATCACAAAACATGCAACAATGATAGGTTAACGAACACCCACAATTTCAAACAGACCACAAATAGCCATGCGTTTGCTATACCAATGTGGGCTAAGAACCACACTCAGCCTGTTTTCCCATGCACAGCGGTGGTCGTTCACGATCGATAACGATGGCGTCCAGTAGCTTAAGCATGTGGGCTCGCCGATCGCACATTCAGACTGTGAATGATTCATCAAGATTGACCCGATGGTAAACAAGCGCTTTGTAACTGCCGAAGCAGCTCGGTTTCCCGATGCAACTGATCCCATCGTCACAGATCTCTTGGAACGCAAATGCTTGGCCGTTTACGATCTCTTTATGTTTGTTCGCTTACCTGTCATTGTTGCATGTTTTGCGATTGATAAGGATGTATGAAATGGCGACGTCATCTCACAATCTACATCTTATGATTTTCCTGTTCGAAACGATAACAGAAACATTTTGTTTCGAATTTCTCATCCGAATTGAGTCAGGAAAAAATCACGTGACCGGTGTATTTAACTAATTCTCCAACAAAGATTAGTCGGCGATGTGGCTTTTCCTTCTATCTCTGTTAACTCGAGTTTACCTTTGCGTATCGTACTGTTCTGTTCATCCACTTAACTGTGCATTAATCAGAAAGTGCTTCCGTCAGGAAAGCTCTCTTCCCAATGTCTCAATCGGGTGCGACTGATAAGGAAAAACGAGTGTCATTTCATAACGCGTTAGTTGAGACAGCTGTAATGCACCTGCGTGCGGTCGAATGCGGAGATGATGAACATTGTGCACCGCGGCGAATAAACAGAATCACCGATTTCGGAGTATCTCGTTTTCCTTGTGTTTTTGGGTATTCGAATTACATGCAATCTCCACATCCGCAGTGATTCGTATCGTTCTTAAACCCTTCAAGTCAAGACAGCCTCTGGTTACCTAGACCTAGACGAGGGAACGAATAAGTCTCCAATCCAACACTTCGATATGGAAACTCAAGCATGAAACCACGGCGGATACGAAAACGATAAGGGTTAGAACTAAAGAGATTCCACATACCTGTTCGATTTGTGAACTAAGGCGAACCTCAGTCATCGTGGTCAGGGAAAAGATAGAGGGCAAGCCATCTAACACAGCCCAAACGATTACATGGCTACGCAAGCCATCATGTCACTGCAACCGTCCACTTACCGTTATCTCTCAATATTCCAGATATGTGATGCATTGCAGCATCATGGTCGGGGTGCCACTGTAGTGGACTACATCATCTAACAAGATGACGGCGATAAAAAGATATTAGTCGTTACATTTAACACCACCAATCGCATACCCCAAGTTCAAAACATAATCTTAGTCACGTGTGCCACCGCTTACTTTGACACATCGTTCGGCCGGCGCGTACGGTCTGATATCCCATATGCGCAGGTAATTGTCCATTCCATTCGACAACAGAAATGATCCATCGGCGCTGACCGCTAATCCGGTCACCGTGTCTGTGTGACCCGTGAGTAGCATGGAGGCATCAAGCTTGCGCAAATCCCATCCTTTGACGACATTGTCAATGCCACCGGAGAATATCATCTCGGCAGTATCACTGAAAGTGACCGCGAGCACCTGTAAGTGGGAGGAAAGTTAATAGGACAATGATCAGTCATTTATCGGATAACGATTAAAAAACTGTGGGATTAACAATAAACACACTGAGTATTGGCATCCAACTTGGTCAACAGGTAAAACAATATCCGAGACCCGTGTTGGTTGAGCAGGGCAAGAGAATAGTAGAGAAAGGCGCCGTTTGCCTCAGGGACGAGCTGATAACAACCGGTTCCGGTGGAGCGCGGGAGTAAATCTAAGGCCGATCACCAGGCATTCACAGCTTAAACAGATCGTATGATACTCACCTGATAAACATTTTGAAAGCTTTGCACGTGTGTCCTCTGTCTTCGGTCCCACAAACGCACCGTGCCATCGTCGGATCCGGAGCAGACGAGCTGAGGCCCACGACGTGCAACATCGCATGCATTCACAAAGTTTTGGTGGCCACGAAATTTTTTGATCCGTTGCCCACTTTCCGTGTCCCACAGGGCAACTGATTTGTCGGAGCTGGCAGAATAAATGACGGAGTCGTCGGAGGATAATGCGATATCTAGAATGGCTCCACCGTGTCCTTAAGGGAGAAAAAACGTAGTATATACGAGAGTGGAAAAGTGTCTGGTATTCTCGAGCAGGAGCTAACAACACAAAAGCCCTCATAAGTAGCGGACGTGAGTGATCAATGCACATTTTTGAAGGTCACATCCGCTATGATGAGCGTTAGCAATGGAAAATGGTCGTGAACATGCGTGATACTAACGCAGGTTTTGGCTGTGTTGCCTTTAGGACTGAATAAGCAGACTATGGTACGCGTTGGGTTAATAGTAGAATTGCATCAGATGCGTAAATAGTGTAGCGTATATTCCCATGGTATCCTTGATTCACGCGGTACATGCAGACGATGAGCCCATGTCAGGCTTGAGACCGATCCAAGTGTGCATACCAGGAATGTCACTATGGCATCCGAACCAGTGGGCGATAACAATTGTGAAAATAGTTCCTAATCGAAATCGCCTTTAATAACCATCGCCTGTCGATCAGTGGACAAACTTAAGGCCAACAAACTACATAACTTCCCTTGGATCGGACTTGGTTATCACACAGGGACTACTTAAAAGTCTAGCGCAGGTGCCACACACTCTGGAATATGCTTCGCATGGCCAAAGTACAGAGGGTTGCTACAAGGCCAGCTTTACAAGATAAAAAAATTTTATCCTTAACGAACAACCGCTCGAACTTACCGATCGGTTTAGTTATCATCTTTGGTGAGAACACGGACTATCAGCAATGTGTCGGCACGCCGTACTGTCGTTTCGCTGCCCACGTGACCACCACCAGTCGCGTGCAGGCCCGGGATACTGTGAGGTCGTCTGCCGGATCTACGCAGGCTCAAAAAGGCAACCTGTGGATTACCAGCCACGCGTTTGAATCACAAAGCCATCGGCTTAAGAAATCACTGAGTGCATCGGTAAGGCTCGTGTGGCTTTCCAAGCCTCAACCGTTGGGGACATCTGTTGGTCAGCTAAGAGATGTGTGCACAACGTTACTGTGTGATCAATGTCATTGCGTGAATCAGAGACGGGATTATGGCGTTTTGAAGGTCCAGCTGTGTCTGACCAATGAGGTTCGCGATGTGTTGCTCACATCAAATGAGATGTGCCGAGGTTGGACACATGTAATCCACCAGTTTCTGTTGTTGTTGCTGCTGTCAACAACTGGCTTGCTTATGTACCTGAATGTCCGTGAATTGAAACTACCTTAGCTACTTAGGTCATTCTTCGCATTCCTGGTGATCAGCAGCCCTTAATGAGCAGTCGATGATATGGAAACGATGGAAGACAACAGGGGGCGCCGTAACGCTTGGAAACTAGTGGCACTGCTGTGCTCGCCTCATTGCTTCTAGCCCTTGTATCTGAGCATTTCGATTTGCCCATTCCTTTTATGTTGACCATTTTCCACCAGTTATTATTTCAGACAACTGTGCTCATCGCACATCGGTGCATGGATCACAGTTGGTCGGCTAAGTTGACCAGTGTCACGAGTGCAAGAAGTGACCAAGAAATACTATTATTCAGGGCAGTTTTCGTATGTAGTGAAATCGATTTATATAGAAAGGCAGTTGAATGAAAGAAGAGGACGAATGTAGGAAGAGCCGGTGGACATGGACGGCAGCATTCGCGTCCACAAGACTGTTCAAACAAGGAGAAAAGTGAATCTCATTCCACCTACTCGCGTGCGGTTTTATTAAAATCCAGACGAGCATGTGACCCTAGTGTATTCTAAAGAATGACCAGTTTATTCTAACAAATACAATCCGAGCATCGAAGGGTGGAAGATCCCAGTTATCATGACGCGCGAGAAAAATGAGGCCGAATGAAAACCGGATACAGGGGAAGGTATTAGGAAAAACACAGACAAGGATAATTTGGATAGAGTATTAACAGGTACATATGGGAAACCGAATGAAGGAGTATCGCTGAGCCACGCAAGGTTTTCCACCACGAAGATGACACGCAATCAGTCTGATCAAACGGCCATGTCTCTGATCCAAACAGTAGCACTGTCATTACTACAACATTGTGCAGCCTACCTCTGATGAACCAATATTATCCTGTCATCTCTAAGTGATTGTGATTTTGAAAAAGCACAAGAGCGTGGCTGGTACGTGGAGCAGCCACTTCAGTGATGTGATCACCAGAGGTGATACAACTATCAAGTTAACAGATAGAATACTTCTCGTGGTTGTTTGGTAACAGCTAGATCTGGCACCATGTCGGCGCAGTCCTGTAACAGTACTTCGAACACATACCGAAGCATGTAGCCCTCTACGACAATCTGATCAGTAGTGCTTGCACAGACGCTAGACCTGATCCAAAGGGAGTTGTGTCGCCTGCACACATAAGTGAAGTTTTCACTATATAACAGTCTGTTATGATGATTTTGGGCAAAAAATAACGAAGAGGAAATAGGGTATGGGACAAACATGGTGAACTCTACTTGCCGTGGGAAACTCAGGTAATAAATGTCCGTAGACCTTAATCCAGACTGGGGAAACAATATACACTCCAAGGTGGAAAGGAGTTTTCATAGTACGCCGTTCACAGTTAGGTAGTACCACACGCTGGCACAACCAACAGAGTCGAAGCAACTTTCAGGTCAAGGTAAAGCACAGTAGCCGGTCGGTCGGTCGATCCCAAGTGTATCTCCGCCCCAACACTTGAGGAAATTGTTGTTCAACAACTATGATCCGAGCACCGAAGTGCGGTGGCTCCAGTTGCCACGACTCACATCGCTAGAATAGCAATAAGTAACAACGGCAAGACAGTGCTAACGGCAAATGGAATGTAAAGAAAATGGAAGCAAAAAGGAAGTGTGTTAAACTAATCAGAATGGAACCAAAATTAACAACCAGATGCGAGAAACCGAGTGTAGGAACGCCGCTAGCTACGTGACCGCACCATGTCAGATACGGTCTCCAACCATTCGTTTTGACCCTCCCGAGGCCCCATCCACGAAGATGGCACGCACTAGCCTAACTAAGTTTCTCAGTCAATTTCTTCATGCCACTATGCCACGCCATGGACTGACCACCTCGAGGTTTCACCCAACTTGGTGCGGCCACGGCGTATAATGCACCCCGACGAAGCCGGTCAAAGAGCATATGTAGGACATGATCTAGCCTACTTAGACGATTAAGATTCAGCAAACACTCCCGTGCCGAAGACCATCTGGTGGACCTCAGCATTGCACATCCGGTGTTCCCACCAAACGTGAGCAATACTCCACAAGCACTGGTGGTCAAACACGGCCAAGCATTTAATGTCTTCGTCGCAAACTGACCAGGTCTGTGACGCATAGAGTAAGACCGGCCTTATCGCAGCGTTATACACCCTACCCTTCATTAACAGGCTGATATCCCGCCGTATCCATAGATGGTTGAGTCTCTGGAAAGCCACACGGGCCTTGCTGATACGGGAAGTAACCTCCTCAGTGATGTGGCCACCAGTGACACAGCTACCAAGGTAAGTGAACCGATCCACCACTTCCAGTGGTTGTTCGGATAGAACCGGAGGTATGTCGGTCCAGTCTCGAAGCAGTACTTTGCACTTTAAAGGTGCAAACCAAATCCCAAAGCGTGCGGTGCGACGTGTCAGTTTATACAGCAGTGTTTGCATAGCCGCTGCGTCGGACTCAAAAAGAGCCATGTCGTCCGCATACTCCAGGTTTGTCAGTCGGTCACCTGGTAGAACTTCCACTCTGGTAGAGTCTGAAAGAACGGAGTCACTCATGATCTTTTCGATAATAAAAAATTGACGAGGAAAGGAGATATAGGACAAACCTGGCAAACCCCACTTGTTGTGGGAAACTCAAGAGAGAGTTTCCCGTAGACACTTACACGGCCTCGGGAGTCAAGGTAATGAGACTTAAGAATGAAAAGGAATTTAGCCGGCACGCCCCTCATGGATAGGCAGGGCCACAAGCTGTCTCGATCAACAGTCGGAGGCGGCTTTCAAGCCAGGGAAAACCACCATAGTCGATCATCTCTATGTGTGCTTCTGCACTAAAGTTGGCGGAGAGTAAATATGTGGTCGATGCACCCACGGCGAGGGCGGAAGCTGACCTGGCTTCCAGTGATTCGGTTCTCACGGGGACCAATAAGTCGTCGAATGATACCCGTGAGGAGTTTGGATGCAATGGAAACAAGACTGATGCCTCGATGATTTTCGCACAAAGCACGCTAACCCTTCTTGATAGGCACAACAGTTGACAGTCACCAATCTGAAGGAACCTCTTCAGTGTTCCAAATCGTGTTAGAGTAACGAGTCCAATCAACAAAGCGTCACCACCATCTTCCACCAAGGATGGAAGAAGGTCTTCATGGCCAGGAGCCTTGTTTCGTTCCAACACGAAAAGGTCATGACGAATTCCTCTCAGGCTGGGTGTCACATCTGCTTCCCGCGACAGCTCAGGCGATTCAGCAAGCGACAATGACGCAGGAGCCCTCCTGAATTGCTATGTGAAATGTTCCGCACAACGGACTAGTATACGACGCTGAGAATAGATCAACTGTCCGTTTTTCTCAGCTGTTGTCTTACTAACTGGTGGCTTTCTCGGACCCGTGTTCCGGTTAAGTTGGAACAGAACTCGGCTACTTCCAATACCATTGGCTTTCTCCATCACACGGGCCATCGCGACCCACCAACGTTCCCGGTCGATTCGTAGACCCCTTGTGATGCGTCGTTTCAGAGAATTACGGACACGTTGGAACCCAGTGCCCATTGAAACTTGTTTCCGTGCCTCGATTAAGCTGATCGATGCCTCAGAGCTCCATTCGCAGTTACAACGTCTCAAGTTGGGTGCACAACATGCGTCAAGGGCATTCTTCATTGCACATTTGTGTTTCGGGCACGTCAAGTAACCCCGCAAAAACGCGCCACAAACTCCAATGCGTGGCTGGAGACGCAAAGTTCAATACCTGCCCACAACGTAGCAGGATCCAGCCACTCGGAGTCGGATCACAACTGGGACAATGTTCTTCCGCAAACCACTAGCCTTACATGGTGATTCATTTCG